ACGGGCGACGTGTCACCTCCAGTTTGCTACCGTTTGCCTCTGTGATTTAAATTCCTCCGATGCAGTTATGTTATAAAAACAATCTCCAGATTAATTTTATGCTTCTTGGTCATTGTGATTTCGGGTGGAGATATTCAAATAAAAAGAGCCGGGCGAACTAATAACGAATAAAGCATGTCAAGAGCGTCGAAGGCCTCCGAGTTGAAATCCGAGATTTTCGGATTTTCGTAATTATAGTAACAAGAGTGCGGTAGTAACTTGAAAACCATGTGAAATTTAATTCCGATGGAATTCAGATGAAAAAATTTAGTTAATAAATCAAACTATACCTATATTAGTTTAGTTAACAGTCAGCTAATAGCCAGTTAATAGTCAGTTAATAGTCAATAAAACCTATACTTTTTTAGTTTAAGTTCTATACTGAGATATGTAGGTCAGTGAGAGGAAGTCTAATTTTTTACAGAATTTTTAACTAGCTACTTATACTCAAATTTATACTCAATATACTCAAAGTGTAACGTAAATAAAAATTGCACCTGTTTTGACGGTGTTTTTAAGTAGATTTTTGTATATACTTTTTAATGACTACTTGTACCGATACGCCATTAACAAGTTTTAAATTGAATAAATCAATCATCATCAATCAGACGAAACGCGAAACGTGTGTTATCTACCGGGTTCTTACTCGTACCGCCGGTGTTAAGTAATTTTTTACGATTGTAATTACTGAAAAGTGATATTCAGTTCGTTGTTATAATCGCATTTTTCTCACCAACCAGTACTATTACTACTTATCTATGCCCATAGGCACTTGCTTTTATCAATTGGATACCAATTGCTTTTCAAATTAAAAATCACCAGTAGCTATTTATTGCATTCAGATAAACGACGATGACTTTAGATGCAGCTAAGCGAATTCTGGTCCACATTATGCATTATATATGCCCCGTGAAACTCTCGATTCCAGTCGATGTTATATGATTGGTAATTAAGGCAGAGACGGAGAATGCGCATTCCCTATATTTCCAAGTCGGTCGCCGTAAAAGACCACCTTACAGATGATAAATTAGAAAAATTCAGCTGCACAACGTGTGTATCTGCTACTCGCCGCCGGGATTCCATCGCTGACACTTGACTAATCTTTCCATTGAACACTCATTTCATATTAAGGACGAAAAAGGCCTCGGCGCATTCCCGAAGCATCCGCATTTGGTGCGGTGCTCCGGCTCGCAAGACCAGATCGCTCTGTGTATATAAACCTGCGTACGGCTCATGATCTTATCAATTCGAATATTTTCATTCTTACCGCGTACATATTTTCGGCGCATTAACGTGAAAGACGAATCGAAAAATTTTTCTTAATAAGTAGGTATTAAATTATTTTGATTTCCACCGGATTCCTCCTGCAACTGCTCGCTTGTCTTCTCCAAATATGAAGCAGGTCAAAGATTAGAAGAATTATTAATAATAAGTTGTTTTGTTGAAATTAATGCCTCTTGGAAGGCACACCTAACTCTTACACTTCGTCTAAACTATTCAATTTTATTAACAATAAGAATTACAACAAGAGGCATCGATCTCGCCGTTGAATAACTAACAAATGTTTAAATGGTATGAATCAATAAGCTTGATTAATGAGTGGACGTTGTGTTGCCGTGGTCGGATTTGATGTTGAAAAACTCCGGTGTTTAATCAAGTGTCACGACATAATGCTATCGTTTACAAAACACCATCGGGAGTTCGACGTTTAGCGGCTAATTAAATACGCACTTGTTCGTAATTTCTTTAATTGCGTCGCCTCGGGCGGTTAAAAATTTCCTCCGATTAACGCTCGCTGTAACAATGAAATGGTGGAAAAATGAAAGAGCTCACGGTAAGAGAAGAAACCTTTAAAACAAACAATGCGAACGTTGATTGAAACGGTGAGAATTCACGCATGCGCGCACAGTGGGCACCGCGGCCGAGCAGTGGCCGGGAAATTGGTCGATTTCCTTCCTGCTCGACTGACTCGGCATAAAATCTGCATAAATCGGCCGCCATTTTGCGTTCTACCGATTATAATTTACTTTCCGAGAGATCTTTATCGACTAGCCGGCGTTCATTTTCCGTCTTGAATCATTCCTAGGCATTTGCCTATACCTATAGCAGCGCTAACGATAACAAAGGAACATTCATCATAAATGTTGGAAGCCGATACTTTCCTGTATATTCGTGTTGCTTACTTATACCAAGTAAATAACTGGAGTGGATACCGTTCGAAGGAAGTAATAATAAGTATCTAAATAACGTGTACATCGCTAAATATTCCATTTTAATAATTCTATCCCAATTGAAATTAATTTTATCAATCTATTTTAAGTATACAATAGGTAATAATCAAACTATAGGTATAATCAAATATTCAACAAAATCATTGTTAAATATGTATAGGTGAATAGATATATTTTCTTTTGCAATTTCCTTTCTTAAAATGAAAGAACGAAAATGATTTCCTCGTCGCCATATTGTCTAAAGGGACATGAAAAATGAATTTCCTAACCCAATATGAAATTCCGAATAGAATTAGGCGAAACGAAGCCGTTTCATTATTAATGGAACTTCCTATGAAACGACGGCTAAACTGCCTGCCTACTTATTCAAATTGATTTTTGATTATAACCCTCCCTCCTTTTTAATATTAATAATCTCCATTTTGTGATATGAACCAATTATATTTTAGGTTGTAATTTTCGATAGGAGAAATTATTTTCCTACGGTAGCTCAAATTATACGCTTCCTTGTTTACGTAATTTATTTGGAAGAGTAACCATATATAAGTAGCTTTTTCCTTCCAACTTCACAAGACGTACACTACAATTTTTTTCATTTTATAAAGGGATGGCAAAGAAATTAAAAATGAATTATTTATTTGAATTTTTAATATAGAAATTGAGTAAATTACCTGACTATAACTACTTTGATAATATTCACTAATAATTATTAAACAAATAAACTGTAATTATCTAATCCAAGAGCAAATGTAAGAGCGAATTAAAAATTATTCTAGAGATTTAAATTGCCTAAATTACCGAATTATTACTAAATTATTATTAAATATAGATACAACTACAATCATAAAATATATGTATGTAGCAAGTTCTTTAAAAAATCCAAGACTTCCACGACCCTGCGTTGTTATTGGATATAAATTATTTCCAAAGTTTTTTAAAAGTTCACATTGTTTCCACGGTATAAGTATCAACTTATTTCGACCAAGTTCATTCGACTCCTTTACTAATTCATGGAAGTTTTAGGTAATTTTTTTCTTGGAGTAATGAAAGTTCGAAATCGATGTTTCACGATGAACATGCATGGACGATTATTTTAATTATAAGCCAGGTCGCCTCATCGATTTTTCATATCGTCCGAAGGAAGTTTTTTTTTATTCTTTTGTTTCCTTTTTTTAGAACTTTACTCGGCTCGGTTATTCAAAGGAATTATTCCGTTTAAGTCACATTAAATATTAATAATCGTAACTAATTGATGTATTTTTAGTTAATTCTTCTCCAATATAGACAGAAGTTACTTCCAGAATAATTTCTAAGTTGAAAAAAATATCCACTTACTTATGAATAATTTGTGTTAGATTCCAAAATAGTAATTTAACCCAATTTAATCTACCCACCTACAATACCTACAGTCTTCTGATTTATTCATGAAATATAATAATTTAATAATTCTTTCCCGTTGACAATTTCACATTATAACCCAAAATATACCCAATATTTCGCAAGTAGGTATTAAAGAATATGCTCATTCCATATAGATTCGATTAGGTTTATAATTATTTTAAAACTTTTGAAAGCAGTATGTAGTTAGGCAATTTCCTATGAAAACAAACGTGTAATTTCCAAAGTAAACACAAAGGTATCAAAGAAACATAAACAACAAATAAAAGGATAAAACGGTCGATAAGATGATACCTTATATTGTACTCGATGTTAATTTTTTATTGAAAAATCTTAATTCTATGTAGTTACATACATAGGTAGCCAGCTCCGAGTACAAACGCGATATTATATCGTGTACGTATACGCTTATTGTCGACAATAATACAATTAAAAATTCATAATGTCAAGTCAATTAATAACAATTCTTGTGTAAGAACGTAGATTCTTTCATAAGAGAATATTTAATACTTATTTTTGTTGTTCCTTGTAGGTATTGTAAGAGCAAATTACTTCGAAAATATAGCAGGATAAATGGAAAAATTCGCAATAAAGAATTCAATTTGGAAGAATAATTTGTGTACATAAAATTAACATAAAAAATACTCAAATCATGTTTATTAAGTGCGGTATTCATTTATTTATTGTTCAATATTATTACGCTCTTTTTGTATATAAAATTAGCATAATGTTTTAGACAAAATGAATTATTAAAAATTCAAAAATGTACCTGTTAAACGCCCATTTAATGAATCCATGCAAAAACGCCATAAAATTAACGAGTGTTAATTATATTATACAGGAAACGAAGCGATTTAACGATGTTACTAAAAGATATTCGAATAATATAATACAGACAATTAAACACCCCACTTTTTAAAGACGAGTTACTTAATCTGATAGAATATTAGATGGTATCTTCAGAATGCGAGACAGCCCCTCTAACATGCCGGCATTTCGAAAATATACGTTGTTTTCGTTGGCGTTTGTTGGTGGTCGTTATCAAAATATACAAAAAAAATATTTCAAAACTGTTACTTGTTATATACAAATATACAGAGTGTTCCTGGTTTTACCAGCAGGATTTTTGTAGCAGTATTATATCGCAAAGAAGCTGAACATATTGAAATTTTTCTTATACTTTTAAAATCTAATAATAGAGAACAATTTTCAGCAAGGTTATTCCCATATTAAATACTAAGAAAGTAAGAAATTTTTTTCAAACTTGGAAATGCATTAATTAATATTTATAGATTTTTTATTATTATTTAATGTGTTAGTGGTTGTCGTGTCGTTCGCTCGTAATATCTCCCATCGACAAAATGTATCCGTATTCGCTAATTTAAATATGATGACATCCTTGTCGCGGCGCTATCTCCGATAAAGATATAGATAAAGAGGGCACCGCCTAATAAGTACATCTGTTTTGAAAGTCCGGAACACATAACGTTGTCAAATCACACCGGAAATAAGGCTTTTTTTACGTTTCGACCGTTTGACGGGGTGGGATGTATGTGGCCGGTAAGGTGGAAGAGATAGTACTAATTAATGAGCACTTTAATAGGATGTATTTAGCCATGTGGTGGATTGTAATGGTGCTTTTTTTCGTAGTAATGGATGCTAATATTTGGGCTAGCTCTTTTAGTTTGTATATTGATTTGGTTGGGGATAGAGGGTGGAAGGTTCTGCAAAGTATTTGATATGGTTTTTGTTCGATTTTTGTGGTGTGTTTTTAGATGTGCTGTTACTGAAGTCATGTTGCACTTTATAGAAATAGATAGTTATTTGGATTATTTAGTGACTAAAAGTTTCAAAAATTGTCTCTACTTTTTTAAGTTCCACAAGAATTGAGCTAATTTATTCACGTTTTGCTCAATTCTTTTATAAAGTAAGTGCTTAAAAATCGATTTAAAACTTTGCCATTCTACAAAGAACTCTAAATAAAAAAAAATAAATAAATTTTTAGTCCTTGAGGAGGAATCAATGAATAACTTCCTTAATACCTATAACAAGTTTATAAACTATAAACAACTAAAATATATACTCATTATAACAGAAATATCGAATGTTCATCAGAGCTATAGGAACTAGTCATTTAAAGACAGTCCTGTGGCTATGAATATTAATTTTTTTTCGTATCTACCTACAATTAGCGACGACTATTTCATATATGCATGCGACAATCACCATAATGGTCGACTGTCTATGTAATTACCGGCAAAAACCTATCGTGACTGCATTCGATTTCCACCATAGATGTCATTATATCGTGAAAATTACTTACATCTATTCCTATGTGTTTGTTAGCCAAGAACGTATGTGTTTACGTTTACCACGTTTCTAAGGAGAATGATTGCTCATTATCTGTCTAAAAATTCAAAAATCTATCTACATATGTACAAGTTTCCATTGGGGTTATTGATTACTGCTAAGTCTCTAAATATAGGTACCTACCTGCAGCATAAAAGGCCAATTTCAATGCGGTTTTACCGCTTTTTCGGTTATTTATACCATCTTTTAAATCCTATAATTTTTACACGCTCCTCAAATTATTTAACACCATGTCATAACATTCGAAATGTGTTTCATGACTGATGGGAAAGAGAGTCGCATTATAATTTATTATAAATAGATAATGACATGGGTCACATCCACGAAATTGAATACACCAACGACATTTTATAAAAATGATTAAATTATAGTTATTGTTCATCCGGAAATATCGTTTTTTGTGGGGTTTTTGATCGCACCGCTAGCTGAATTTCGTACTCAAGTAGTTCTATTTATAAAAAAATATAGGCTAGATAATACACCTCAAACGAATGCTATGGGAATTAACTCTTTTATTCGTAGAAAATATACTTTGCAAACCTCTAATTATTCCAAAGCTAAAAAGTTAATTCGACTTGAAGAGGATGTTTGTGGTTTCAAAGATTCCGTATAAATAACATGTTACCGATTTGAAGACTTTCTTAGTACAAAATTGTTGTATATTTTTGCCTAAATTAATTAATAAAAATTGCGATTGTAACGAAACGATTTAATGGACGGCCAGGAATAAAAAGAACGCATAGTACAGCAGGTGGAGGGTGTAGGCAGTCGGTTACACTGCGTAAAAACATAAAAAAAGATTGATATCCTTGATATATTGCCTTCATAACGGCCGTTATTGTTTTAATAACGGGGTTAATTAATACATATAAACTACTTACGTAACGCTACATGCTAGAAACGTTTTTCGAGATTCCGATACCGATTATTTCGATTTTTATTTTTACTGCGAGAGTGTGTGAGGATTTATTATTATTCTTATTCTTCAATATACATTAATATAAAAGGGACCTCCAAACAACTTTAAGACGAGCGAATCCGTTTGGAAAATTCCAAAAACCTGGTCCTTAATAGGGTGTGATTTATACGAGATACAAACATGCCGAAAGTGCTCTATCATTAAACCATTTAGCATTACTAATAACGTGTAATAGGAGTTAGAGGCGCATCCCGATTCTCTCATATCGCTTCGGCGAACGTCCGGCTAGCCTACCAGTCTTGCCACCTGCTGATTTTTGCCGATTAACTAAGCATTGTTCACCTGCTCGGCTGCTTTGTATTCCTAGATAGATCAAAATTTTTCGCCAAAAAAAACCTACAATTTTTGGGCTATAATGGTTTGTTTATGTGTGGCGAACACAAGGATGGATCAGATACGGTATCTGCCTTGGTTTTTTTTATAATTGATATTGTTTTCAGGTGTTTCGCATTTACGTCCAGAATTTCGAATAAATACCTGCTATATGATATCAACAGCAGGATGAAAAGATGCGGCATTAACGGGGCCTCTTCGAGTTTTTATCGGGTAAAAGAATTAATTTTTAAACTCGACCGATTTGCCCAGCGGGACGCTCGTTTTGAGTGATGGATAAAGATACCTATTCCCCGTGAAATTCGTTCGAAATGTCGGTGGCTATTTTAAATGCAAAGTAAAAGGATTAGAAACCCAAGAGACATTTGTTTATTTATGCTTGATTCCGAATTTGATAAGCGGTTTATGTTACAAGGGATAGTTAAAAAATGAAAAAAGTAAGTGAAAATGATTTTCTCTCTACTTTTACACACAAAATTTTCTCTCTACTTTTATGCCCAATATTTTCTCTCTACTTTTACGCCCAAAATATTCTCTCTACTTTTATGCACAAAATTTCTCTCTACTTTTATACACAAAATTTTCTCTCTACTTTTATACACATAATTTTCTCTCTACTTTTATGCAAAAAATTTTCTCTCTACTTTTATACACAAAATTTTCTCTCTAGTTTTATGCACAAAATTTTCTCTCTACTTTTATGCAAAATAATTTCTCTCTACTTTTATGCACAAAATTTTTCTCTGCTTTTATCCACAAAATGTTCTCTCTACTTTCATGAACATATTCATGTATCACGATATTCTCGGTTCGTACGGCCTAATTTAATACCGTGATTTAAACGCCAGGAATTCTCGTATAATCCAATCTGGTAGCTAACTTTTTTTGTATGAACAAAATTTTTATTAAGTGTCACGAACCGACCGGGCACGAAATTTTCAGCCATCGCATCGATTTAGGCCGGGGCCCGCTTGATTCGAACCATCCACACGAATAATTCCTCTGAAAAGAGCTCGGCGTCTTTTGGGCAACTTGTCAGTGCTACCTGATAAACTAGAAATCCCAGCGTCTTAATTTCCCTATTCACATTGTTGAATTTATAAAAAAGAGTCTTTGGATGGTTCTCTCATATCTGTAATAAGTTGCTTATTTTGAGATATTAACGTTCAGATTCTAGTACTAGATTTGCATTGTTTGCTTTATAAAATGTATGTAAAGTGTATGTAGTGAATGGTATTTATTTAGCAAGAAAATCCGGATGAACGAGTGGGAAAAGCGATAAAAATAAATCAGTTACACGCAGGCATTGTTTCATTTTTTGTCGTTATTTAAAATTTCAGCGGTTTTATAGAAGCAAACTAGACAAAACGGTCTCTTCATTGTTGGTTGATTCGACTTTTGAGCGACCGAAGAGGAGTTACCCGTCGATACACTCTCGTAGACAATCCTCGATCTGTGACAGGCCGTCGTCCTAAAAATCCAAAAAAATTACACACGGGGCCAAACTGTAATTTCGTTAATGATATGCATGCCGAAAAGTGGGCTGGGAGCCGTATGTAAAGTACATAGTGCGCTTAGATTTTTCGACATCTGGCGTACCTTGCGAGACAAACGAAAAAACCGAGTCGAACGGTAATTTTTTTCGGTGCTCGTCTTGTCTTATTGTTACTGTATCCGGAACCGGGGTATTCGCCCGATAATTATCGACGGGCTTGTCATTAGAACCGTAATTATGCGGTAATTGGTGGTAAAGTCGTACGCCAGTTGCATATTCCAATAACCGGGTAAATGCGTTTAATTCGGGATTTCACCGGATTTCGAGTACGATGCAGCAACTATAACTTCAAATATGTATATGTATTCTATTAAAAAACTATCCGAAATACAGCAAAAAGGTCTTACGCAGCAGGTGTAAACGAGATTTTTCGACTTCCAGGTGAGACGCAGCGGTATCAACAATAACCGCTAATTTCCGAGTAGGTGAAAATAACAGAGATGCTATCGTGATTAAAGATTCGATCAAAACGATTACAAAGGGCCAGATTACATACCCCAAAACACTCGTGCCGTTGCATTATTTATTATCCTTTAACTTTAAATACTATGTTAAGTAGCCGCCTTCTCTTAAAAAATGATAAATCGTTTGTTTTTGGCGCAGTGTAACTGTTAATTTCAACAGCAAATAAACCAGAAAAAAAACCTATATTGCCTTTATACAGGCTGTTAATTAATTGAGTGTCGATACTTCAGGATGTGAATATTTGGAGGATTTTAAGAAGAAAAGTTTATATCGATACATGTCCTAAACCTCTTAGTTTTCGACCTACAGGGTGTTACAATAACTTTTCTATCATAATTTTCTTATTACTTCAAATAATTAGGACATATATTCATATAAACTTTTCTTCTTAAAATCATCCAAATATTCACATCCTAAAGTATAGGCACTCAATTAATTAACACCCTGTACATAAACCTGCTCCACTCAATTATCTTAAATAATCCCTTTTTTAGAAGTTTCATGAAAGTCTCATAACATTTCATAATTTACAATTTCATAAACCTACTTAAGTTTAGATTTGATTGACGCGTTCTGCGAATAAAAAAATCAAACGTTATAAGCTGTACATTCTTAATTCACGATATTCGTGGGAAGCTCAATCATCTAATCAATTGATTACCCAAAGTGATTGACTGATTGCTCGCATCAGATGATCAGACACCAAAATTGCGCATTATTCTACTTCTGTTGGGAATAAAAAACCGGCGAAGAGAACGGAATTACCGGCGTTTTAACAATTTATCTGTCTTTTGCTTGTATTAAAATATCACGTAGTGGCGCGGACAAGCATATTACACGGATTTCTGTGTGGATTATGGATCGTGTAGGATGTTTTATAATAGGTGAATAATTTTATTCGGTACACCTACGACCTTTATCGACGGTATTAAGTCTTGACGGCGAGATGAGATCTTCGATCCTTTAAATACGTTTTTCGTGATTGCGTGTCTTCATTTTCTTCTCAATTTTCATAAGGAATTAATATGAAGAAACCGACCGAGTGCACCGACTGTATATGCTAACCGCAAGGAAAGAAACGATTAGAAAACCAAGTTAGTTAGATCGTCAACTTAAAATATTTTTTTTATTTAAGATGAATACCTTTTATAAAATCCGTAAGAGGGAAAGTACATGTAAGGGATAAACATATTTTAATAATGGTATAATTATTTTTAAGGCGTGATTTATATTACGCAAATAATATCCTATCACAACAATAATAAATCACAAACATACAGAAATATAACGATGTTTTTCAATTATAACAAATCCTCCCTCAAAATATATTACATAAATTTTTACCTTATCGTTTATTAAAATATAAAAATCTATTTTTTTAATATTTTGGCCCTTAATCACAATTTAACTTTTCATCTTTTTCTTCATCAGCATTTTCCTTCGCTTCGCCTCCTCCTCCTTCTTCTCCTCTTCCAAATCTTCCAGTATACCTAAAAACACGTTCGATATTAGACCATTCAAAACATATTTAATGATATATTTACCTATTTTAGTACTAATAATCTCTTCCTTCATTTGCTGGGCAAACGAAGATTCCATATTATCCACTCCATCATCTTCGATATCCCTGTACCTAGATTTATCGTAACCGAAGATTTCCGAAATGTACCTCGAATAATCTTCCGTATCATCACCGTCGTCGATGAAATCGTCCATCTCCGAATCGTATTCGGAATCATCATCGTCCAATATCCGCCCTTCTGTAACAATAAAACCAATTATATTAATAAGAAGCCACTTAAAAACCCTTCAACTTCTCAGGAATGCATCTATGTAATAAATGTGGGTTACACAACATATTGTGGACTCCCCTACAAGGCCCTGCTTATGCGGGACACCCTGTATAGTGACTTACTTTTAACGTTCATGGGTTTCTTAAACCTGGGTGGTCCCATCCGTTCGTCTCGCCTCTTCATATCCGGAGGTGGAAATTGCTTGGGAGGTAACTTAGCCGGTAATTTCCTCTTGACGCTATCCGGTGGAAACTTCTTCGATTGAGGCTCATCAGCGTACTTCTTCTGAGGCGTCGTAGAAGGCGCCGGTTTGATGTTGGATTTGTTATTGACTTGTAGATGTCCTCTGACGTCGGACGAAGGGGTTTTCTTATTGTATAAATTAATTGGCAGTTGTTTCTTATTGGACAAATCATCCACTTGAGATGGTTTATTGTCCGTAGATTTTTTAATGTTTGCATCATTCGATGGTTTCTTGTTTTCCAGTTCTGGTCGGTATCTCAGATCACCTGAAAGAATAATAAAACGTATTGTTTAGTCCATCAAACATTCATCAGGATTTATATTCAATGAGTTGAAAAAAGAAAGATTATTAAACTAATAATGGTTAGAATAGGAAAGTTGCAATAGCGCAATATCCCTCTTTCTTTTTTCTTTATATGAGATTAAAGGAAGTTGTCTTTGTTACACCCATAGGCCATATTGATATGAGAGTAGTTTAAATTACCTGGTAAGTATTTTCCAGGAATATATTCTTCTTCAGGAGAATCTTCTTTAATATTCTTGAGATTTTTAGAAATGCTTCTATTATTATTATTATTATTAGTAGTAGATTTTTCTTTACTAGATTTTAATTTATCGTTATCTATTTTAACATTACTATTGATTGATTTAGAATTTTCACTAATTTTAGGAATTTGAGGAGTCTTGAGCTTATTTTTTTCGGCACTTGTTTTTGACATTTTACTAATCTCCTTTCTTCTTTCCTCCCTCCGAATTTGAGATTCCCTCTCCTTTTCCATTTCTCTCTTCTGTTTTTTGGTGAGCAATCTCTCCTCCTCTTTCTCTTTTTTCTCGATTTTAATCGGCTCGAATTGCTTCTTCTCGGCAATTTTCAAAAGATCTACAAATGAAATTAACTTATTAAATCACATAGAAATCATTTTTAAATAAAATTAAATACAACTAGCTATCCTATAACTCTCAAAAATTAAAGTAAACGAGAATATACCTGCGAAATTCATAGGAGGTGGAGCTGGCACCTTCTTCGATTTTTTTTGCGAAGAAACAGACTTTTCATCCTTATATTTATCATCATAATTTCTTTCGGGAGCTCCGTAACTGACACCTTCTTCATCATCTTCCTATTAACATAAATTACATTAATTTCACAAATAAATATATAAGGTGTTTCAAAACACCTCAACAAGCGAACAATACCCCTCTTGTCAACTAACCTTATGCTTTCTTTTTCTTTTATGGGGCAACAATGCATCCTCCTTCTCTTTCTCCAAGGCAGCTCTCACTCTGTCCTTCGTATTGCCCAAGTTAGTGCTGACTTTTTTCTTGGACATATCGAACTTCGGTTCGTTGGGCATTTTATTGTACTTCTCCATCATTTGATTGTAAAATTGCGTGGCCTCCTGCGATACGTAACCGTAATCGTCTTCGTCAGGCTGCATTGGCCCGGCCAATGTAACGGCTGTGTTATCGTTATCAATAGCATCTTGTATGACAGATTGGTTGGCTGATTTGGTTCTTTTCAACATAACATTTACCCGTTTTGTTGCTTTTTTATCCTGAAAATTGACGAAATATAAGGTTAGTTATGATAGTCGATCGATTATCGCTTAGGTTGATAGTCGATAGAGATATTATTTGATTAATCGAACATCTATATGTTATGTTTCTATTACTATTAGTACTTGTATTTACGTAGTTTCATATAAATTTCAATGCCAATAATACTTAGTCATTACAAATGGATGTTCATAAAGGGTAAATAAAATTTTGCCTCATCAATAATCTATTATTTACACGCGGTTATTGATTACCAAAAATTTCTGTAGGTGTGTAAAGCTAGTTAAAAATTTACCTGGGAACGCAGAGCTAGTAATTCCTCGCGCCTTTTGCGATCCTCTTCGGCCTTCTTCCTTTCCTCAGCTTCCTTTTTGGCTAGAAATTTCTTGATGTTTTCCGAAAGTTGGCTCGATTTCTTTTCCTTCTTTGGTGGCTCGAATTTAGTGCTGTAGTATTTAACCTGAAAGTATCGAATAATGCAGGAAATAACTCAAAAATATGTTAGGAGAATGATAATTGGGTCTACAATCTGATACCTTTTGGTCCTTTGATTTCTCGTTTCTTTGCGCAGTGTGAAGTAATTGACCGAAATCCATGATTTCAATTCAAGAAATAAACTTATAAATCGCGAAAACACTAAAATTATACGAAAATAAGTATTAGACAATCAACACTTTACAAGGTACATGTACTCCTCCATGTTTAATACTGACAAATCTCAAGGCGAATGACAGTGACACATATAAGTTAATTGACAAATGACATCACAAAATTGATGGCCTTTTATTATTAGTGTATGCGTAACCATCATATTACAATTTTATTTCATTATTTATATAAAGATATGTTATTGTACAAAGCACTTAGTTATTTTATTATTGAAAATAATTATTTTGCGGACAACAATTACTTATTGTATTCAGAAAATGTCAAAACTTTTGCAATACAAGGAACTGCATAATATGTCAACAAACGGATGCTACAAAAAAAGAAGAATTTAGTCACATGACTTCAATGACTGAAGATTGAAAACAAAAAACAAACTATATAAGTTCATTGTGATGTTTACGTCTACGTCTCTTACTTTCTCATATTATGTTTAATAATTAGAGAAATAAAAACATTTTATAATGAATCGTCAACCTCAATCGTACGGGGCAATTTCCACGAGTGCAGATGTAGGGTTCAGTGACAGAATTTCTAGTGAATTTAATAGTTACACTGACAATGTAGTAACCAACATATACACGATAAATTCCAGCATAAAAACGTTAGAAAACGCATTAAAATTAATTGGAACAAAGAAAGATACTCATGGGGTGCGAAATAAAGTGTAAGTATTACCAAAATTGTATTCCTTGCATTAGATTTTTAACATTTAATATCTTTTAGGCATGTTACTCAGTTGAGCACTAATCAAATAGCCTCCGTTACCAGCAAAGATATAAGTAGATTAAAACAGCTCGTCGCCAAAGGGGATAAACAAAGGCAACTTCAAGTCGAAAAACTAGAAGGGAACTTCAAAGATACAATAAGCAGATATCACACCTTACAAAAGGTAATTGAAATTAAAACGAGCGGATATTTTTACGAATTGGTAGTTTGATTCACGCTATTTCATTTCCCCTTGTAAAAATCCCGAAAATCTAAGTTTGTTGTTAATAAATACAACCTAATTATACATTTGCTTGAATTGTGTACTGTGGTCTATGGTAATATGATTTTAATGTCCCTAATATTTACAACTATTGATTGCTTTGTTTGGGGGGTTAACAAACAAAAACATTTTTAAGAATCTAGAATGCATTGATAAAAATATTAGCTTATTTTATGAATTTATTACACTTATCATAAACTGTTATTTCAGCAAAGCATAATTAATTTGACCTCTATTTTTATCTTATAGATATACCATCTGTCCTGTTTAGATTAGTCACTTTTATTTAATATTAATTTCCCATTGTTATCAAGCCACTCAAATTAGAATCGTGCAAATAAAATATTGTGTTTCAATGTTCACAATATTTATTAATTTTTATTATTATTCAAAAATGTAAATAATTTTTTTTAGAAATTATTAAATTGTTTTGAAAATTATTTCAGTCTGTGGCGGAAAAACAAAAATCCAACCTGTTACTGCCTTCCGTTAGCGTGGACGAAAGCGAACAGAATTGGAATAATGATAACGAGCAACAGCTCCAAGCTCAGAAAACGAGAGAACTGGCGTTCGAACAGGACCTGCTCGTGGAAAGGGAAACTAGGATAAGACAGATCGAATCCGATATATTGGACGTGAATCAGATTATGCGAGATTTGGGCGCTCTTGTGCACACTCAGGGCGAAACGATAGGTACTTTATTCCACTAAAAAAAATGAATCAATTTAATTAATACCCTGTTAATTCCAGATACGATTGAAAACAGTATTGATCACGCGGCGGGAAATGTAGAAGAGGGTGCTGAGCACTTGGTTAAAGCTTCTCGATATCAGACAAGGTACAGGAAAAAATTGTTCATTCTCGTTGGTATTGCGGCCGTTATCGCTATCATTTTAATAATCATTTTAGTAGTGCAATTCAAAAAGTGAATTTTTATAACCGGGTAGAATTTTAATTGTATATTTATCTTATTTTACTTATTTAAAAACATTAAAACGTTACGCAATTATTTTGTTATTAAATAGGGCTAGAATTGTCGAATAATTTTCAGTTGATTTGAGTCGGCTAAGTTAAGTGTTAAAATTGTTACGAGCATGTATGTGACCTATTTAATATTAATTACACATTTTATATTTCCACAAGCACCTGTTTTTGATTTTATATTATCATTTATCTCTCGAACTAACAATAATTAAAAATTAAAGTGAACCTACAGAATTAATAAACCGAATAGAAGAGTTACTTTTAATCAAGAATTATTTTCGGTATTTCTCTAATAAAATCTTTATTTCTACTTCACTGTACAGGAAGTTACCTATTGTTGGTGCAAAACAAATATTCTGTATTCGTGCATTTACTATATCAATAACTTGATCAGATAGGTAAATAAAATATTTTTTTGTTAATTTAGATATTCCCGATACACTAATGTCTACAATCAACCCAACAAACAGAAATAATAATCCCTATAACATCAATACAAGGAATGTTTCAGACGGAATAAAGTATGGCCGTGAATACGTGTTATATTTGCATGATGAAATATTCCATAATATTCTCCTCGTTATCTTATTCCTTTGTTAAATTCAATTGCCCCCATTCGAAGAAACCTTCGAGGAAACCGCGCATCCGTTGCGCCCCGAACAGACAGCGCTTGGGCTTTCTTTTGCAAATTTTGGCGATAATTCTGGGCGTAGCGGAATTATTCATCGCCATAAAAACCGAAGATATCACCGATAACACCACGATATTAAACATTTTAAGCCTCACGTCTACTATATCCGTTACTTACGCTCTATTAAAGGCTAACTGGTCTTGGAAAGCATTGATAGACGATATGAAAACCGCAATGTACATCTCCGAATTTCTAAGCAAGTTTATTGTAGATGATAAATGGTTTAGAGTGTTCTATGTATTTTCTGTTGGTTGGATGGGGTATTCGTCTTTGTATTATAGCAGTCAATTATTTTTTATGTGGGTTGGAGAACCAATCAATTACTTGTTGTATTTGAAGTCTATTAATTTGTCGATTTTTGGTAAGTAAGGAATTGATATCATTCTAAAATTAGTCTATTCTCTTCACTGAACAATCATTTATATCCCTTAATGAGTTCGAAAATTGGCTGTATAACCACTCGGGTTATCACACAAGCTTATGAATAATTTTCAGGATACCTAATGTCTACGTTCATATTAAGGATTATCGTGGATACTTCGGTTAATATAGTGTTCATGCAAAGATTGTTCGCTCAACTCGACAGGGAACTGTCCCAAAAACTTAGAGAATTGGATATTCGGTATATTTGCCTGCCACAGGCGACGTTCGCTAGGAAAATAAGAACGCTCAGAAGGTTTTACATGGCAGTTTTGGTGAATTTTCAAAGGACGAGGATTCGCTTCAACAGCTCACTCGAAATTTTGGTAATGTCGAATTTCATAATAGCCATTTGGATAATGGCGATTACTTGCGTGATACTCATAGGAAGGAGAACGTTGTCTCTTAGCGAGTATATAATAATTCTTTGGTTTGGTTTGAGGACCTTGTTTGTTTATTGTTTTGCTATTGTTTGCGATTTCAGTAACATTTTGGTAAGTGTTAGTCTGTATTACTTGTACACGATAAGCAATATAATTAATATTGTAGATTAAAAAACAACAAACCGCATTGTTTAAATTTCCATCAGAAAAACTGTCGAGCGAAGAGAAAATTGAGGTAATAGGTGAAACTTTTGAGTTAAAGTATTGCTTACTGATTGTGCACGTTTTAGTTAGAGAATTTCGTAAAATTGCTTGTTTGGAGAGAACCTATGAAGACCGTCAGGGATTCGTACAGGTTCGGGATATCCACAGTGGCTGGTGTAAGTCGATTTAGTTGCCTGATGGCTCTAAAAAACGTATTAAATACATTCACATTCAATCACATTTTTCAATCTCAATCAGAGAATTCTTCCTTAACAGACAATATTTCCTTTAAAATTTTAGTGTTACGTCCTTTTTAGTTCCTTTAAACGTCTCCTTTATTTTTTTCACCGTCTACTTACTTTGTTTCTCTTTCCTATTATAAATAAAAACATATTTCTTGTTCTTTTATTGTTTCAGATAGGGTTAAATATCGTGGTCAATTCAATGGTTGTAACCCAACTCTACATATTTTTCGACAATCAATTAAATTCTAAATAAAAATATTTTTAATATACACCGATAATATTGTATACAATAAAATAATAGTACCTGTACCTGTAGGCATGTTTATAATAAAAATTTAAATATTTTGAACATGTAGTACGCCAGGAATACGAAGAATCCGATCTTGACAATTCGGTCTAAACAGAACATTCTGAAACAAACAGTAATTTGATAAATATTAATATTACTTTACATTGAATATGTTTGTTTTGGTTTAATTTCGCGATGGGTGTTGCAACGCAAAGATCGACTGCAAAACTAGTTATTTAGCAAGCTGTCTTTATTCGGTTAAGTAAGAATGCATAGGAACTGGGTCTCGCAAAGTGCGTCGAACTGAATACTTTGATGGAAACTTACTAATATTTACCTTGCTTTAAATGTTAACAAGTCCAAGAGAAAATTAGCACCTATTCATTTTCGCATATTTTTAGAAGATTATTTAAAAATTTTCTTATGTAATACCTACATTTTCATGTTCCGTTTGGCCGCAGGCAACGTATCGTCGGTTTCTTTCAGATAATTCCTGCGACAAGCCAACATGCATTGCGTTAAATACTTTTTCATATCGATTTTCTCCACTTTAACCATGTAAGATTTTCTTTCGTGGTCCGTGAGCTTCTCTCTTACGGTTTCCAAGTTGGTGGTTTCGAAGCTCCAGTTCTTGGTGGTAAAATATTCAAACATGTCGCCTCCTTTACGAATCCTCATTTGGACCTTATACAACCTGCAATTTAATTTAATACATAAAAATAGTTTTTGGAATAATTGACACCACTTACAGTGGTTTGTAACCCAACAGAAACAACAGGAAATCTATTAGCAAAGCTGGAATAAGTTGGAAACACACGAAATTGAATTGGTCGTATAATCGATTCTTGGTCATTGTTCCTCCAGGGTACCATAATATACCGTTAAAAGGTACCTTCGTTTTGATCACGTCCTTACCAGCTTCTAAAATTTCTTCCCAAGTCACTCGAATGTCTGTTTGGGGTACGCAAAGATTGAAGATGTAAGGGGAGTTTCTAAAACATATTTGTCGGTTTAAACTCTAGTCGAAAGAGTGATAAATGTGTTTACTTCGTAGTAAGATAATGCCAAGAAAACATCATAATTGAACCAACGGTTGAATCGATGGGGCACAAATTGGCGGATGTTTTGCAATCCATATAAATCGATCTCATCACGCCCTTTCCTGCTGCAACGAATAAACCCATCGGTCCCTGCAGGTTATTAAACCATCCGGGAAAAGGGTCTTCGTATGACGGTATTACTGAAACCGGTAATTCCTCTTTTATATGCAGATTTTTGAACATTAGAATTATGTTTTAGTGCGAAGAATTTAGCAATGTTAATGAAAAAATTAATGAACTCACCGATTGCTGGCCTGCAAATAATTATCGGTATTTTCCCGACTTTTTCATAAACCAATGTTTCTGCTAAAGATTTAGAAAATGTGTACGAATTCGGTACCTTTTGGAGCAACCTGCAAAGAGTCAGTTAATGAGAAATTTGAATTGGAGCACATCTACTACCATGCATTTATTGGTGTGAAAGATTTCTGTAAAGATTTTGCATAAAGTGGTTAATTAGTAAGAAAAAAATTATTTCATTCGCCATGAAAAATTAAATTTATATTTCGACTAATAGAAATAAAGCGATAGACCCACAAATGCGTCATTTTACAGCATGCTCTTACCTCCTCAAATAAATTAAATCTCCGCTCAATTCGGATACATCCCTAAAATGTTCAAAAAAATACTTTCACTGTTAAATATATGTTGATTTAAACAGATAAATTTGCAGCAATTCAAGTCCTTTTTAAAGCCTATTTTTATTTTTCGATATTCACCCCTTTCTTTACGCACCTGTTATCTGGCATTTTCAAAACCTTACTCTTACTCCCCAAGTCCTTAATAAAAACCAGACAACAAAAATGATGAGAAATAGGACAATGATGTGATAAAATACGTTAATGTTGTATGGTATTTGGTAGGTAAGAAATAAAATAAATTACTTTTTTCCAAATGAACCATCCAGGCAATTTAAATCCTTTAAAATATCATGCGGATTAATGGCCGATTTGTACTCCTTTTCCAAAGTTTTTGCTTCCAAGTGAAACGCATAAGCCGTGGATATGTGCACAAACAACTAAAAAAGATGCTTTTACTTTAAACTAATTCACATCTCCGCATATTACATTTACCATAAGGTGTTTGCATTGCTCGGCCAAATCAAGCATGTACTTGGTTCCTCTAACGTTCAAAACGAACGCAGTCCTCATAGAATCGTCGAATCTCGTTGAAGCAGCGCAGTGAAATATGAAATTAACCTCGTTTATCAATGTTTGCCGGTACGCAGGGCTAATGCCTAGATCTACTTCGTTAACATCCCCGTTTATAGCTGTACATTTTTTCGTGCAGCTCGGTTTCACCGATAACACAGTTTCAAATAACTAAAACAGATAATCTCAACAATCTTTCGCGAGTAGCAGGACATATTTATTGATCCAAATAAATCGGCCTAACGGATTTCTAGGTTTGTTTGTTCCTTACCACGTTTGTAAACAAGTTCTGCAGCCGATCGTTGGCCGATTTGCCTTTCTTGTTCCTGATCAGGACGTAGATTCTCTTGACTTGAGTGATTCGAAGTAGCTTTTCAAGGAGTGCTTTACCGACGAAGCCTGTAGCACCGGAGATAAATATCGTACGACCGTAGAATATTTCCGCGATGCGGTCGGTGGATTTATTTGCTATCAAATTCAGATTCTCCATCTAAAAGAAAAGCTGTAGAGCTTGGAAATGCATCATTACACTGTAATGAGGCGAATCCTCTCACTGCCTATTTTTTGAAATAGTAACAAAGTGCTTGTTTAGGTGTAGAATGTTCAATGAAAAAAGTTGTTAGAATTAGAAAATTATAGAGAGAAATAATAAACTCGGCTGAGTTTTAATACGTTCAAATTTAAGAATTATACCTCTAAGGTACTGTTTTATGAAAGCAGGTTGAAAGTGTGAATGCAACTGGGCAATTTATAATGCATTTTTGTCAGTTTCGAACTGTTAAATCGAAGCTATTGAATGATAAAGCGGATTCTTGTCATTTTACCGTTACATTTGAAAAAGTAATAATTGCTTTCTGTCTAAAAGCCGCTCATTTTCTGTAATATGTGAATAGAATGGCAAAGTGAATGGTTAATCTACTGTATTTGTAGAGAAAATATTTTTTTAGAACGAAATTAATTATGTCTACTGTACGTATTTTATCGAATAATTAACAGTGATACTTATCAAATTATTATATTATAATATTTATGCGAATAACGTAAATATTTACAGAAATTACTTTACGCTTTCAATTAATTTTACAGAACTTTGTTCAAATCATTATTACTAATATTTTTTTAATTAATAGTGGTATAACACAATAATTTTTATTAGTTTAATGTAAGGCGCAACATACGACATTGTAACCATTAGGGTTTAATTAAAATGCAATATATTCTTTACTTTACCATTTAAAGAATCTTATATGTAAATAAAATAATAATTGCATCGAATCGTCGCTTTTAGGTCTCCAGTTATTAATTTATTTCAATTGATTTTTCAAGTCGTAACTAATATTAAAATTATTGCGCACTTGATACGAATTTTCCATTGTAATTCAATTCGTAAATTTGTAGATATTAATAATATCTATGTGTTACAATTATGTATTATTGATACATTTGCTTATAATTAAATGTGCATTAAATTTATGCAAAAATAAAAATGATTGGAAATTTTTTAAAGAAGGTTTGTTGAATTTACTATTTAAGCCTCACGCAATTCTCATTACAAATTTATTTATTAAAAAAACCAACCTTCTATTATACAAATATTCTTTACTTTACCTTGGCGTTATTAAAATTCAGGTAGTTTAATTAATTTTTACCTTTTCTGCTAATTATTTATTTAGTCCAGTTTTCCCCTTTTCTTACTGACCCATACAAAAATAAGTACCTTAAAAAACTTACCCTTTACGAAGGTACTGGAAGGAACTTCCAAAAGCAGAATTATCTCGGGGCTTATCTCGCGAACGAACGCGCGCACAAGTTAATTATTATTTTTCCGGATGCCCGGTTTAAATAGTCGGCTCTGCAGCCGATCGAATGAATAATGAATATCAATGATCGATTCAGAAAACGGTTCGCGGCAATTTGGCGTTGCGAAAATAAAAGAGACGATGAAAATGAAGCCGGTAGGTGATGAGAAAGAAGGAGTAGGTGCAAATTCGAGCAATTTGATTGAACGGGTTTAATTACCTATTTTTTTATAAAAATAATGTAGTCAGACTGGTAATTAAATATTTTTCCTTTGAATACTTGTTTTGTAATAATCACTATAATCAGTTTCTATATCAAACCTACAAAGTTTTTTGACGATAATATTATAAACTAGCAGATGAGCTTAAAACTAGTTTAAAATTCAACCTATTTTTTTGTAAATGGACATCCTATTGTGCGTTATATCTGCATGCATAATTAAAAGCCAAAATAATTCACTTTCAGTTGCTGTAGTTAGTTATTATTTTTTAATACATTAATTTATGTGTTTATGTATTTATGAATACAAATAGGGAAATGTTATTAAAAATGATTCAGTAAGAAATAGACTTCCCATTGGATATTATTAATATAGGGTGTTCCATTTAAATTATGCGAGTAATTATTATGTTTGCGTTTTGACTCACCCTGTATACAAATTGCAATTTTGTCAAAATGTAACTATTTTTTGTGAAAATAGACCATTTTCAAAAAGTGCTGACACAGAAAAATTTACATTATCTGGTACAGATTCTGATTTATACAGGGCTTTGAAGTCATGACGAATTGAACATAAAAATCGCCATAACTTTTTAAATATTCAGTATAGTCATATCTTATATTGAGAAACTCCTGAAAACGAGCTGAAATCGAATATGAAATAAAAAATATATCATTGCCTTTAAAAGAAGGTATATTTGGTATGGCTTCGATTTATGGGCCACCAAGTGTTAAGGTGCTTAACACTTCTTAAATAATAGGAACTTCTAAATAATAAATTGAATGAATTACTTTTAGAGAAATATTTCATCACTTCTTCTATCTTCCATCTCGTGAAAATTTAGGAGGGTAGGTTTCTTCAAAATATTAGCGATATCTCAATGTTTGCAAAGCGAACAAATAAATTAAACAACGGTATTGCCAATACATATTTTAATCGACTTACAGCATTACAAAAACATGTAACAAAATTTAAATATTTACATAAACACATTTCCATCGCCTATACATATTAAATTTAGATAAATGCAGGAGAAAGAACATTCCGGTTGTGAAGTCACCCCTTCCTGCGGTCTTTACAAAACTATCAAAGTACATATTTGTATATCTACTAGAACTAATAAAAATTCGAAATTATCAGTAAGATGGTATTACAAAAGGCCTCACTAATCTGGTCCACATGTAGTAGAGCAATCCCAATGCGAATAAACATTTAAAAATTTTATCCACGAACCACATCCTGAAAAAATAAATACATAACAAATTAAGACCGGGTAAATTTTTGGGCTAATAGATACTCACAGTTTCATGTGTCTTCTTGCAGCGGGAATAGTATCATCGGGTTCGTTTAGAATATACAATCTCGTACAATGGACGCAATTCTTAAAATAATCAACATAATCTATGCCAAACCCATCCACCTTATAAATCTCCCTTTCGCGTGGATTGAGGTAGCTCCGGGCCTTTAGAGACTGATCGTTTATGAAGTCCCATTGATTATTAGCGTAGTACTCGAAGACTTCGAAGCCTTTCAGTATTCTCTTTTGCACGCGCATGAGCCTAAAACGCCACATAAATGAGCTGATTCGTATTTACTACTAAAGTGAACTTACACTGGTTTGTAGCCGAGAAGCATTAACAATGCATCGACGAATAAAGCGGGCAATATGTGGAACAATAAGAAGCATATGTTGTGTACCCATCTGGATGTCTTCATGGAACCTCCTGGATACCAAGCCACGTTGTTCAGCGGTATTTTAGTTTCGATAACTTTCCTTCCGATTTCTATGATCTCCGACCAGGATATTTTGTATTCGGAAGAACTGGTTAAGTTGTATATTCTACGATTGCTAAAATATTGTACAGAACCTTTTATATTACATTTTAGTATGATAAGGTATGATTTCTTACCCATGCATTGTAAAATCCAAGGTACTAACTAGCATAGCATTAACACCTATATCTACTGGTAAGAAATCGGCGTATCCATCGGAATTACAATACATAGTACGTATTACGCCTTTTCCTGCTCCTATTAAGAGACCCGCAGGACCGTTAATGTTGTCTGTCCATCCTGGAATCGGTTCCTTCCAAACAGGGATTACTAAAAATTGCAATACCATTTCAATAACTGTTAGGACATTAGAGGGCTGGATTATTTTTTATAACAGTAAGGAAAGTCCAATGAAAAAAACACATTCATTAGAAAAATTAAATACCAACTGTTGGATGCAAATAAGACAACAATACAATAGTTAAAAATTTAGAATAGAATACGATTGAATTATAAATTAATTACCTATAGATGGTCTTAGAATAATTACTGGCAAGTTGTTTAATTCATCAGCGACTAAAGCTTCTCCTAAAGCTTTCGTAAAAGCATACGTGTTAGGAATGTCGCCCAATATCCTAAAAAAAGAAATGAAAATTGTTACTCTTATATCATATGTAAAGTAATGTTTAAAAAATATAATGAGTTATTTAAAAGTATTAAGGGAATAATTAAGTTAATCTTAAGTTTTAATTAATATATGAAACAGGAAACTCAAACGCTTCTTTTAAAGTTTAAATAATACTTATTTTGAATCGTTTACTATAATTAATTATAAATATAACAGCAGTAATAAATTAACACTAGATATTAATAAACATCCTTATAATGGAGGTTATAAAGCATCATTAAATAATTATAATTTATTTATCAAAAGAATTTTCCTCATTTAAATACCCCGAAACACGCGAAATTTACTTAGTTAGTATACTTTACTTACTTAGGTGTAATAGTATCTACAATCTCTTCATTCAACCATTCGATAGTTTTGATAACGTGATAAGGATCCGCTGGCGGCGGGTACACTTTTTCGTACAGAACCCTCTCGTGGAGATGGCAATAAGCCGTAGACAAATGCGAAAATATCTAAAAAAAACCAAAATTTCTCATTAAATCTCTCGCTAGCGAATCACGAAGCAAACTCACTTTAAGCTTCTTGCACTCCTTCGCCAAGTCCAGCATGAGCTTCGTGCCCCTCACGTTCAATATTACGGCCTTCTTCAGCGGCTCGTCGAATCTGATCGTCGCGGCGCAATGGAAGATAATCTCCGTCTCATCCTTGATCATTTGCCTGTTCTCGTTGGACAGCCCCAAGTCCGGGAAAGTCACGTCTCCGGCCACGGCGAAGACTTTTTTAACGATATCTGCTCCTCTCAGTTTCTTCACCAACTCGAACAACTGCGGTGTGAACAGAAAGATTTAGTATTCAGTAAAAATTTATGGTTGTGAAATTTATTGAAGCAAAGCGATTAAAAGCAAACTCATATGATGTATATGAAGATGTAAAAATCTAAGTCATCCATTAAAATATGAAAGAGTATGAAACAACTCGATTCTGTTTATATTGCAAATCGAACTTTCACTTGCGATTGCTCAAATCGTAATTACACATAATATTTAAATTATTTTAAACGAATCGTTATCGATCAATGAAAAATATTGTTAACAATTTTACTAGAGGGCATTATTAAACAAACTTTTTGTTTTCCTCCCTTGCATCGTAAACTATTGTCAAATAAAATTACGAACATTCTTGATGTAGCAATCGAATAGTAAGGAAAATCGTTTAATTAGATACTAATAAACCGAAGAATGTTTTGTTGAATAAATATTAAGCAAAATCCGTTTTAAATAAACTAATTAATAGGACACAAAATCGCCAGTTTCCTCTTTCACGACTTATGTTGCAATTCTCCTTTGTGCCCGAATACAGGGTGATTCCGTTACGAATCTCCGAGGTAATCGTGAGCGAAACAGCGCTCTTTCTGGCCTCGAATCGCTGGCAAACGGTCCTGTATGAAAATACATGTTTATATTCAATTGGGCAATAAGAAAGTTCACGCGTTAAAGATTAGCTATAGCTCAAAAATCGTAAACAGTGTATTAACTATTGCGACAGGTGTCGATGATTTTGCACAACAATCTAATGTTTGGAAAAGTAAAGGGAATGTTCCAAATAAATGCGGGTCAATGTTAGAAATGGCCTAATAATTGTAAAAGATTCTATAAGAAGGATAATCTAGAAGCTTTTTTTATTTTCTCACCGGATCGTCCATAACGATTTTAATCCGCTCATCCGGTCTCTTATCCTTTTTGGTCCTTATTAGTAGAATGATTTTCTTTAAACCACTGCAGGATCTCAGTAATTTTTCCACTAAAACTTTGCCCATAAATCCCGTCCCGCCGGTTATGAAGATGGTTTTGTCCTTGTAGAGTTCAGCAACTCTATCAGGATAATCGTCCAAGTTTAAGTTTAATTCCGTCATTTTGATGGCCTGAAAAAAATACTTTTTAACGATTTTGTTTTAGTATTGTGTACATAATTAATTACTAGCTTTTTATGCCTCCTATAAAATAGATCAAATATCTATAACAGCTTTACTTAGATGTTATAGGGCAATTAAAGGAGTGAATGATAAAAATTCATATACCCACATTCTGGTTCTGAGAAAATTTGCTGCAATTTATCATAATAATGATACCTGCTTTGTAGGAATTTTGAGTTGTTAAATAAAAACCTTTAATTATTTTCGTCATGATATCTTTTTTAACCATTATTCGCAATTTAAATAGGTAATTGCATTTCTATACGTAAATTGAATTATTTACATTATTTGTCGTTATTATTACGAATTCATTTACCTCGTCATCAGAAAATGTATTAATATATTCTTTGATACACATAAAACAACTAATGTCTAAATTATTAATTAATTCACTGAATTTTTATTTTATTGCTTCCAATAAATTAGCCAAAAATAATTAAATTGTTTATTGCATCTACACATTAGATGTTTTTTACGGCCCGGTTATTGCGAAACGATTACCTATTCCCAGAGAGGGCAGTCATTACTCAAATATATTTTCTCAAAATTTGCAAATCAATGTTACTTCATAGTTAATAAGTGATAGAAAAAAAATTTGAAAGTAATATTTGCAGTGTCCTTGAAAGGAATGTTCGAAAAAATATTCAAAATAAAATGTTTGATGTATGTGAGGATGACATAATATGTAACCAAGTCATTAAAAATATTGTTGTAATTAATCTTGTATCAATTTTTTGTTAAATAATTATTATAATACCCCAATTTGTGAAGAAACTCTGAATGTATGCTTAGTGCATTTTGATGATGAAAAATATCAGGTTTTATAATTATTCTAAATTCACCAAAAAAACAGTAAGATAATTTCATAATTTTAGAAAGTGGATCACATACGATTCACATTTTTTTTAATAAAGTTACGGAATGAAGACCATCATTTTGCAGCACAAAATGATAATTGCCCGTTCTGATTTTACATCAGTCATTAGATACGCTCGCTTTTAAGCAAATTATAATTGAGCGGCTCGCAACAAATCGATCTTTATTGTTATCAGAAATAATAGCCATTATTTTTGTTAGTTTTTCTTCGACTTATTTGCTAATCGAATTGTAAAATGTGCGCGAAATTTCAACATAAGAAAGTTGCCGGTCTATTATTTCAATGCTTTTAAAGTTTACCGATGATGCAGCTATCAATTACATTATTACCAACCTATCCATTGATTTACGGCGGCTGCAATTTATTTACCGTGGTTTCATAGTTAAATTCTCCAAATAGGTGTTGTATTCAATAAATTTTTTGTATATTTGAAAAGGTCTTTAGGTGCAATTGTGCACGCTTTGCATGAGCAGTAAACACCTTGTATAATCAACGACTTTTTATCAAATCTCGAATTCTAGTGAATTAAAGTAGGTTCATTAAGTAGTAAAATGTCTTTTTCGAAATATTTACGCTACAAAGAGTACTTTTATAAAGTGGATATTATCCGAATTGAGGCCAAATTCTCGATAACTAGGTTACGTACATTATATAATTCTCAATGTCTTAACTTTTACATAACTTTCGTTGCTAGTAACGCGTAGACAAACCGAAGAAAGTCTACAATAACAATTAAATGTTATTTGTATAGGTAAGATGAGTAATTTGCTTTATAATTTGTTGACAATAACTCTTCAATTAAAGCCATCAAGGTCTTGTTTTGAAGGCTGAGCAATTTTCAAACTTCATTAAAATCTTTGCAAAACAAAAATCGATTCGTTTTTAAATTTGTGTAAGTTTTTCGTTTCATATTTGCTATATTTTGATTTCTTTTTGCGCCTTCTAATCGATTTTAATTTAGGTAATAGGAGTCGAGCAGGTACTTTCATAAAATTAATTTAAGAAATTATCGCCAATTAGATACTTCCTATAAAAACAAATTTTTTGGTTAAAGTTTGTTGATTATATAAAGCGGTATTATGTATTAACTAAAAATTTGAAAAACAATTAGATAATAAATGTTTACTCTTTATAATCCAATAGTTTAGAAATTCCTGTTTGAACAGCTCAGTGATAATTTTTAAGTAAACAGTAAGAATTGCAATAAATCTAAAAATTCCTGCTAATGGTGCAAAACTTAAATATTACCTACTCAATATTTATTGAAGCGTTAAATTACATAGGTGATAGAAAAAAACTTTGCCTTATGACAAGACTTCATTTTTAAAATAAACAACTTATTTTTCATGGAAAAATTGATATGTTCAATAATCAAAAAACCCATAAAATATTCAAAATAAAGTATACCACACACTAGCAAAATGTTACATAAAATTGCAACACTTCCTTAAGGGTAAGTTTTCAAATTTCCACTAACTTACCTATTCTCCTTTGGAACACTACCGTCACAAAACGTTATCACTACCAACTTTCCTGCAGTAATTCCTAATTGCCCATTAACCAACCAAACCGGCAACTAGCGAAGTGCGCTTAGAGAACCACCTGAAAGAAAATGCAAACTTCTCGAGGACCAAAGGCTCGGGGCTCCGCCAGTCTAATGCCTCGTATCTAGTGACTTACTTTCTTTTTTAACGAATTATTTCTAAGTTGCAGGTGGGGCTGCTTAGATTGCAAGCGAGTACGTCAATTCTTTTTCCGTTAAAAAACGCAAGCAAGTCCGCGTATGTACCTTAACGCGTACGCGTTTCGTAAAGATGAATCGAAATTTTCCAGCACGTTTCTCAGAAGAGCGAGACCGCGTAACGGTTAGAGTTCGCTCGTTAAAATTTTTATGTGATACAAAGTATTGAATGAGGATTTTCCGTAGGGAAATTTGTTGAGTTTTTATGGGAAAAATATGCACTATTTTGAATTATTGAACTCGATGTTTGAAGTGCACAAACAAGCGTTGCTAATTAAGTTATAAAAGCAGTTCTATTGGTACTAAACTTTGATTACATTTTTGAGAGTTAATGGACCGAAAGTTCTTCAATCATACAGGCTGATTCAGAATTATAGGATGGAACTGCTGGGTCTTCTTTATATTATAGTAAAAAATAAATTAGTGTTTTCTCGAAGTATATTTCCATTATTAGGACTTATAGTTGACATTTGTTTTGCACCGACTGTATGAAAAAATTGCATCTCATTGAACGATGAATGTTAACAACAAATTATTACAATACGTATGAATTTAATGATTGTCGCTTCAGAAAATGAAATAATTATAGTACTACGTATGATCACAATTTCTTGTTAATTGCACTAATTTGTTTACAGGGAAATAAAAACAATATTTCATTACAGGAACTAAATTTAGCAGCTTAATAAAATGAATAGGATAACATCTTGAGTTAATGTTTTGCAACACCTTCTTGTGTATAATTTACACAGAGAGACAAGAAATTTGTACAGTAAATCGAGTTTTTGAAAAATTTGAGAAAAGATATTAGTACAATGAACTGTTGTATTTTCGAAAGATGGGAATTATTACACTCAAAAAAAACCAAACTATTATAAACAGAACCTTTATTAATACAAATTAACTTGTTCAACTGTATACATTGCATTACTAACATCCAAACCTTGATCGAAACTTTTATTATTCGTAATACAATTTAGCAAAGGTACAACCGCTCGTAGAGTATCTAGAGAACTTAGATATTCCTTTACTAGTTCATTTATATTCTCCAAAGTTTCAATAAGCAACTTGTCTTTAGACAAAACGATTTTTTGATAGTTAGAGTCGATGATAGCGCAACTCCATTCTAGTAATTTCGCGTGAGTTTCTATGTAACTTAAAGCGGGTAAAGTTTGATTGGTCGCCCATAAAGAGTGGATATATTTCAGCAAATTCGAAATTTTATCTAACGAAAGTTGCGATCTTAAATATGGTAGAATCAAAACTTCGCTAAACGGTCTATACAAAATATGCCCTAATAGTTTGTTATTACAGCTATCGTCCAACGCAAAATTAAGCATTTCTACCAAATACTTCTCAGAAATATCAGTAAAAACTTTAAGTAAAGTCATCAACAATTGAATATCATTCTGTTCGAAAATTTCTGGTAGCAATTCTTCTAATATAGCGCATTCTGGTAAACCTTGCTTAACATATTGATCGAGCCTCGATTGTAATGTACTCGGCAAACATTTGCTAAAAGTTTTTTCTTCCCACGAAGCCACCTCCAACTCCTGAACAATTTTAACATCAGGATCGGCAGCGGAAAGAACCTTCCTGTGACTACCAACAAGCGCTGCCAATTGTTCGGTTTCCAATTGGAAATGAACTACAGCCAAATTGTGCCCGACTGGCACGAGTAGATTATTACCCAATCGCCATATTTTCGAATTGCTACTGAATAACTTAAATGGCTGCTTCGATTGGATGACTTTAAACTGTATATTGTACAAAGTTAAAACGGCCCCCTCTTCGTTGCTGTTAGCTCCGTACAGGGCGATGTAATTTTCATCTAATGATTTCATAGATATAAAATGTTTAGGAGATATCGAATCGATGACGGTGAAAAGGTCTCCGATGCTGGCCTCTTCTAAATGAGGAGCCTCAAGTTGACGGGAATACATACTACCATCAGACCCTACAAAAAATTATTAATGAATAGTAAGTAGAACTATCGGGAAAGTATAAACTTACATAAAGTAAGCAGATGAATAGAATTTCTTATGTTGTGAAACACGAAGCCTCTTATATCAACATCTTCTCTTCTTAGTGGTATTTTAGAAAAACTGCTATTATTTTCTTCGAATTTCGTCCAATATAAAATATCGCCACTGATTAAACCGACGTAAATTTGATCATTAATTTCTTCATATAATATGTGATCTATATTATCTAGATTTAAACCCACAGGGTTTAATGTTTTCCTCTCTTCTATGGCATCCTCGAGATTGCATAGAGCGCCATTTTGAAACAGAATCAGTATCGTTTCACCTCCTTTTATAAGCGTGTGAATGGGATTGTTGAACTAAAATATAAAATAATTAGGATGTTCGAATAGTAATGCAAAAATGACTTACTTTATATTTCTTTTGCTTATCTAAGTTATCATCTTGTTCCCAAAGTTTTAGATACGATTGATTGAATACGGCAACGTATTTACTTTTTCCCTTGCAATATAACACTGGAGAGCTGAATTTTTCTTTCGTCCTCCAGCAAGTTAATTGCCTTTGATCTGAAATCTAGAGGTATTTGAAAATTAATAAAAATAAATTAACTATTTTGTAGAATTACCTTATATCTACTTGCTAGATTTTTACCCAATGTCACAATAACTATTCCATCTTCCGGATCGTCTGAAACTTCTAGCAACACCTTGTTGTCTATTAAAGGGCACAAACTGTAAAATGATCCTAATTTTGCCATCGTTTTTGTATAAATTTAGTTATTACAGTACACTAAAGAAACACATTTTTTGTTTTGCAATAAAATACGGTTATATTAATCTTCGTTTTAGATTCAACCATATTATTGAAGTGGCCTCTCACTATTCACTTATAGAGTTACCACAAGAGAATACTTCAATTTTTTAACTTACATTAGAATCTTTAAAACCACATAATCAAGAGACCTAAAAAATGATAGATGTAATAAAAATTAAAAACTTTAAACAAAAATAAAATTCCTTGTAGCTGAAAAAAAGCAACATCGCGCATGTTTGTGCGTAAACAAACATGTCGAATGCAAGCCATCAAACATCAAAGTTATCCAACCCACTTTAGGCTGTTTAAAGTTTAAAGGGGATAGCCTGTAATTTCGTCCATCGCCTTTAAACCTGCCTTGTAGATATGCTTAAACGGAATCAAAAACAAATTAAAGCTAGTGCAAAAAGTGACAATTGTAACCTAAAAGAGAACGAATACAAAAGCAGTGAAATATCCTTAACGACATTAATAGGCGTCCGGAATTTAAAGAGATGGAACGCCCTCAAAATCGAATTTCGCTTCCAAGCCGACGAAGAATTCGTTACGAAATTGTTGGACCTCGCAGAGGACTATCTAAACAAGTAAGTTTATTTACTTTTATTATTTTAAATGAACATCAAGTAACATGGAGCACTTATTTACTTTAACTTGACAGATCAATAATATATAAAATAAAATATAAACAAACACACGTGCTTTTCTCGTTAGGTCAGGTACACATTTCTAAATTACCTAGCAACATTTACATAACTTTCAAACATTCCACAAACATTCCATTTCACTTTTATATACTAGGAGGTTTTCTTAAAAGCTTCTTTTTGTAGAAAAAAAACTTTATTTTACACATTAGTTTACCTATATTTTCATCAATTTATAATCTAATTGAGCGCTAAACTTTTCTATTATTATTGCTCGACTGAATCAGTCTTTTTTATCAGTTTCCATAACCTTTTAGGACACAAAGAAAACCCCATACAAATCATGAAGAGACCAGCACGAAGAAGCTCGAAAAAAATCCCAAGCATCACATTGATACAAATCCCGTTAAAGAGGAACTAAACGAGGATGTTCCGCAGCTACAAGAAAAAATTTCCAATTACGATGTAAAGAATATAATAGGCGAAAACAAAACCCAAAGCGCTGGCGCTAAACTGAAAGAAGACACCACGAGACTGGTTAAGAAAGTAACGTTGAAAAAAGAAGGTGCTAATAAAAAGGGCGACAAAACCCAACTTCCTCTCAAAGATTTAAAACAGTGTGATAACAAAAACGCCGATAACACAGAGAAATCCACCGAGAAGGAAAACAAGCCGACTAATAACGTAGATAAAATTCGAATAAAATTGTGCCAATTGTGTAACACGCATCACGTTCAAGTTCACTGCCCGCTGAATTTCCCTCATTACGTCGTGCACGATGCCTTCGATCCCGTCTATTGGGAGCAAAAATACAAACTTTTACACGAAGAGGCTCAAACGAGCAAAGAAAAAACCGACAACAGCGAGCTGGAGCTCTACGAATACAGCTTTTCGGTACTATCTCTACCCAACTCATTGTATTTAAAGGACACCAACAGCACTCACGGTACCGGAGTGTTTGCCAAAATTGAGATCGAACCGTTCACTCAATTCGGGCCTCTCATCGGCAAGACTGTCAAAGAAATGGAAATTCCCGAGGATATTAACATGAAGAACATATGGGAGATTCAGGGCGGATCGGAGAACGTGTACTTTGATACGGAAAACGTCACCGAAGCGAATTGGTGCAAATATCTCAGGCCAGCCCCGACTAGAGATGATAAAAATCTAACTGTGATAGCTAAAGATTCTAAATTATTTTTTGTCTCTGTTAAGTTTATCAAAATCGGCGAGGAACTACTGTTCTGGCAGGATTCTCAGACTGCTAGTAATAAGAAGAAAATGGAAAAGACTAGTAAGTATTAGACTATTCATGTAGATATTTTGTGATGATAATTTGGTACAAATTCTTTTAGCTTGTGGAGGTTGCAATATAGACTTTAGTCATCCGCATTACTACAGATTGCACTGCTCTTTGTTTCACGACATACGCTATAGCTTGACCATCAAGAAATACCATTGTAAAGTGTGCGGTGTGGCAGTTTTAGGCAAAGAAAACATAATGAAACACGCCGCAGAATTGCACAATGGACAGGGAGCTTACCAATGTCAGTTTTGTAAAAAAGTAAGTTTGTAGTACATCGATAAACTCGATAGATTCTAATTTGTATTTTTCAGTTTTTTCTAAGATTGAATTATTTAGAAATGCATCGAACGTACGGATGTTCTGCCAACCCACACAGATCGAGGCCACTGTGCGATTTCTGCGGCCGGAAATTCTGCCAGCCCCAAAAATTGAAAGTGCATATTAAAAGGATGCACAGCGGTAAGTTTTCAATCGCGTTGTCTTCATTAAAGTGCCAAAAATTTAATGAGAATATATTTCAGATTTAGCCGAAGTGCTGAAGGAGTTTCAATGCAAGAGTTGCTTGAAAATACTAGGCTCTAGAGCTGCATTACAGAGACACACGAAAGAAGTCCATAAGAAACAAACGGAGGCCAATTGCTCGTGTTCGAGGTGCGGGAAAAGTTTCCAGAACAAATCGAATCTGAAAATTCACATGCTGACACATAGCGGAATAAAACCGTTCAAGTACGTCCACTTTATTAAGTTGTATTTCAGTATTTCGAGACTCGATTGTATGACATTTTACTGCACTTTTAGGTGTATAATTGCGATTTGTAACGCTGCATTTACAACGAAGCAATGCCTCCAGTTTCATTACAAGAAAATCCACAACTACACCGAGGAAAATATGCCAAAAATCGAAAGAAGCGTGGATTATACATTCCAAGCTTACAGCGGTAGTGGTGATGGAATTAATGAAAACGAACAGCCAGAAACCTCACAGGAATCCAATTCGAAAAATCGAGAAAGTATGTCCGATGATGGGAGTAAGTAAAATCGAATTTTATACGAATTTAGTGTTTATTTAATGTATACTTTTAGGCGACGATAACGAAAATATCGACGATCCGTTAGCGTTGACAATAAGCAATCAAACTTCGAAGAATCCAGTGGAATTCGAGCCTAATTCTCCGCAAGACATTCATGCGGAAAAAGCATCCCATACCGATGACTACCCCAAATCCTCGCTATCCGGATCCAATCTGAAAGTGCTGAGTAAAGGTTCCAAAAAATGGATCGGCGACGATCCGCCCGCATCGTCCAAACTACACGATATTTACTCAGTCGAACGGCTCAGCAAAGACGATCTATCCGGCATAACGTTACAGGAAACCGACGACTACGACAGAAACAAAACCAACGCGAACGATTTCAACAGGCACGAGGCCTCGAACGCCAGCCTGCTCGTCGAAGCGGCCCTCGATTCGGTCTGCAACGAACCCAACATCGACATCGACGTCGGCACGACGCCCAATTGCGCCGATTCCTTGGTCAACAATCTCTACAATCTCGCGCAATCCGACAACCTCCCCGACGTTTCCTACAACGACATCAACGATTCCCGCGACATCAGCCTGATATCGCCGTCGGTCAACGACCACGACCACGTCTCGGTCACCGACGAACTCAACGACGAATTGAGGCGCGACAACGCCATCGGAATGCACTACTCCGGCTTCCATCAGAACGACTTCAGCCCGCCGCACAGCCCCGACATCCACCGATCGAACTTCGTGCGGAACTACATCAACAGCCTGTCGCCGCAGAACGTTTCGTACGATCCGAGGAACCCGTCGCCCGTGCCCAGCCCGTCGCGCTACGACATCTTCGCCCATCACGTCAATCCCGATCACTTGTCGTCGGACGACAGCAACGGCATGACCGTCCAGAATCTGAGCCTGCACAACGCCAAAAACGACATCCAGCTCGATCTGTCGCTGTACAAGACCTACAAATCGAGCAACCAGGACTACATCAGGAAGCTGAAGTTCGACGACGACAACACCTTGGAGCAGGACCACATCGACGTCATCAGCCAGGACCTGCCGAGCGACGTGCAAGGCATGGAGGGCGAGAACAAAGGCGGCCCGGACCGGGACGAGCACGACAAGTACGAATTATCGGCCGACATTCGCAACAAATTCGACATCGATTTGGATCTGAGGCTCAAAGCGTACGATACGATGGACGCGGAGGCTCTAAGGCAACGGAACCACACCTACGAGACTAGCGAGTTGGATTTTCGCAGCAAGGCGGCTTACGATTTGATCGACGCGGTGGAAAATCGAAACAAACAGTACGATCTGATAGACAACGATTTCAGGACGGACAGGAATTTCGAACCTTTGATTCTGAATTCATCGGAGTTGCAGGGTTTGGATATGTCGGCGAGGAGCTTCCACAACTACACCAACATCAACCGGTACAGGCCGCTCTATCCCGAGGTGGATCGAGTGGATTTGAGGTTGAATTACAGCCCGCCGCCTCCCACTTACACGCACGCCGATTTATTGCGCGTTGTCTCCTTAGATCTCACACCGCCGGGCAGGCACAGCGTGGATTTGAGCCTGAGAAACCATCCGCTGCATCAAATAGCCAATTCTCGTTTGCTAACCGAGCACGGTCTGCAGCCGAACCCGCATCGATTGCTCGACCAAAGCAGGATATTGAACGCGGATTTGATATCGAGCAGGCACTTGGCGACCGATAGATTGATAACCGAGCAAGGCAACAGGATCTTGACCGATCACAGCACCTCTAGGATCTTGAACAACGAGCAGCTGGGCGCGAACCATCTGCTCGCGCCCGACCAGAGCCGGATCATCGGCGACGATTCGCGCGTGTTGACCGATCAAACGAGGCTGTTGGATCAGAGTAGGTTGATCGGGGACGGGAGGATTCTGCCGCCGACCACCCCCAACGGGGGGTTGTCTCCCGTGCAGGGTTTCGGGAGTTATACGGTGCCCCAAAATCCGTATCATCCGGCGCCTTTGGCTACCAGGCCGCACGTTACGTCTCCTACTACAGCCGCATATCATTATCCTACGTATTATTGAATTTGTTAAGTAATTTTAATCGTGTAAATAGTCGGTGGGCATGTAAGTAGTTAGGTAATTTCGTTGTTTGTACGTGGTGAATCGATTGACGAGTTAAAGGGCGATGGTTCGGTAAAATCTCGTTGTAAAATTCTCCGTATGTTTTAAGAAAAAAGTCTGAATTTGTTTCTTCCTGGAACCAATTAATACTCATATTTTAATTATAATTTCGATGAGCATATTTTCAGAATGTCGTGAAGTTTCAGGGAAAATATGGCATTATCAACATTTTATATTCTTGCATAAACGAGTTGGTAATATTTTGTGCTATGCTCTGTTTAAATCTAGGAGGCTGGAGGAGTGATTTGAAAAGTCAGAAAATTGGCAAGGCGGCAAATAAATATCTTTCATTTACATAAAATTGAAAGTAAACTGCCAATAACTATATTAAAAGATGAAATGAATTAACAAACCACCTAAATACGGCATATTAAATAAAAAAGAAAAATAATAAAATTTCTATAACATGAACTTGACTCGTAATTAACCAATAAACAAACGGCAGTGTTGCCAACTTAAATTCAAATCGCTCTTCCTAGATTTTCTAGGGTGACATTTATGTTGGAATATAAAATTGTTTTTTTTTTCTGTAATAAAGTCTAGTCATGTTGTTGTAAATATCTTAGGATAATTCAAAGGCATTAGTTAATAAAGATGCGTTTATAATAGTACATCATGGATAATTCGGATATTTCAAATTGCGGGAAAAATTTTCTGGTAGATGAAACTGAAAAATTGGAATGGTTGGATGTCCGGATAATTTAAGTAATTTGTTTCCAATGTTTATCGATTGTTTCGTAATAAACTTGCCATCAACGATAATATTTTGGTAATTTTTGTGCATTATAATTTTATCAATATTGTATTTAATGCTATTATTAACTTTATTATATTAATTGATTTGATTTTTATTCAACTGTGATTATTTTTACATATTTCATTTTTACAATAAATATTTATTTATTGAGTATTTATGTTTACTTTTGAGCCCCCCTTATATGTTTTGAAAGATTAGTAATTTTGCGTTTTATTCCCAATTTCCGGGTACTTTCTTGTCACAGTAGCAATAGTACTTTCAATTACCAATTGAATGAGAAAATTAAATGAATAATTAACCAGTTCTTCAATCTTGCAAATATTTTTTATTTTTACTGATTTATTTAAATACATTCTTTATGATAGCTTTCTAGGAACTTTAGCTATTAGGTAATTACATAAAGCTTTCAATCTATTCAACAATGTGCTCTCGTACATTGAAGTGTAGCATTGTTGAATTTAAATTCCATCAGTTGTCGTCAAGTGACAAGGAAAATAAAAATACAAAACAATAGAAATGCATTTGAATAATACAGAAAAAAAGTACAACAGTTAGTAGTGCAGCAGTTTGCGGCAATTCAGTTAATTCTTAAGTACTTATGTAGTTTATTAACATTTTTAAATACAATTTTTGTTTCAAAATTTTCTTTAAGGGAAGCAATTTTTCCGCACATGTTGGTATTAAAACAATTTCAACTTAAGGTCTATATTAGGAGAAGTAATTAGCTACAGTGAATTACTGCGAGTAAAGTGGTTAATTAAAATTTCAATCATTGCCTAAATTTCAATTTCAAATGTAAACAAAAAAGAAATAGGAGTTCAAGGATAGTAAAACATCACAAATTTGTTAAATATGTACATAGGTACTATTTATGAAAACAAATTAATGCACTACCCGAGTGTTACTGCTTACCTATTTGACCTAATATTTCTAAGAGTTCATTCGAATATTATTTTCATATTTTTGTGCTTTAAAAGATTAATAAACCAAATTAACGCGAGATTTTGAAAATAAATAACCAAATTTTCCCGTTTTCAATACTGAGTTAATTAATTTATATAAAATTTATATTTTAATAAATCACTACATGTCTTAATCAATTAAAAACTCCTTGAAAAATGCATACAATCTTGTACCGGGTGGCCAACTAAGAATTCGAGGTATTGCGTAGGTACACTAGTGAAAAATATTGTTAACAATGAATAAATAATATTTTCACTTTCGATTTCTAATTTTCACATCTTTGTGATTGAAAAATAAAACATTTTCAATTTCAAATAAAAATTAAAATTCAGAATTATTGGGTTCTCGTGCGTTTTCTTACGTAGGTAACCTACTGAAGGCGCAGTTGAATAAATCCATGCATAATTATGACTTCACGAAACCTCTTATCATTTTATTGTTTTTTTCGACAGACATTCAATAGAAATCAATTTATCGGAAATTTCAATATTTACATAAATACCTTTATATACTCTAGACGTTTACGTCACGTTTTGAATACCACTGTTGCATTACGAATTATACAGAGTGTTCAAAAAACAATCTTTGTTTGTATTTTATTACCTGAATTTTTTAATAGAATTAACAAAAACTCAAGTTTCCCAAAAACTACAAAAGAAAGTTTTTATTTAAAGTGTTTTCTCAAAGTGGAAAATATAATCTGTTAAATGCCAATTTAACAATCCTTAAATTGCCCCTTAAATTTTGGAAAATTGGGAAATAAATGAGAAAACGTCTCTCAAATCCAAAAATTTAATATAATAAAGGATATTTCATTTAATAAAATCAAACTGTGATACCTAGCACTTTTTTGGGACATTCTGTATAACAGACAATAATTTTACTATACACACCCTCAAGTATTTAAAATTTCAATGAAACATTTGCAATACGTTCAAGGTTTTTGAAGATTTTGAAAACATGTTTCTGACCAAAATATGAAAGAAATTAGACAATGTATACAGGGTTATTCACAGTGTACCCGTCATTATAATCCATGAAGTATAATAAATAGAACCTGGAAAATCATCATTTTTTCGTGATTCTACTAGCAAAGCTACTGTTATTATCTAAATTTATCAAAATATTTGCAGTGACGTGACAATGTATTTTATATAGGGTGGTCAAAAATCGATTAAAATTCGAAATTATCGAGCAGTACATCGAAAATAACCCCGTATTTGTAGATTATTCTCGAATTCCTATTGTTCCTAACTGTATATTTAACATCACACATATCGAAATCACTAAATATTTTTTATACAATATACAGGATGACTCAGAGTAGAATTCGCTTTTCAAAGGTGCCCTGTGCAACCATTTGAAAAGTTTTTAGGGGGGTAGCGCTGGTAATTTGTGGAGAATACATGCGGATTTTCGATTTTAGTGTGTATTTACCACAAATTGCGTTTGTGTATGTATTTACCAAAAACTTTAAAAAAACACTTTCGAAAACCGAATTTTTACTCTGAGTCACCCTGTACTATAATAATTATACTTTGTAATAGGGCCACTTACACCCGTGTACAAAACGGATGAATTAAACATAGATCGTCCGAATCTCGATTTAAAAATAAACCAAGCTAATGCTCATTTTTTTTGGTTCACCCAAATTTACTTTATTGTTCTACTTTTATTGGCTTTGCCTAACCTTCATATTATTATCATTTGATGAGTAGAAAATAAATTAACGAAACATTAGTATTTTTTTTAAATGTAGGTATTTAGTCTGGAATCTCCAGACCATTCTGTATTTATTTTTTCACTTCCAAAAAATTATCGAAGCTTTTTTTTATTTTTTCTTGCTTCTTTTTTCTACTGTTACTATTTTCTTCTATAATTTATTTTTTCAATACATTTTTAATTTTTTTAAATACCATTAATAATTTAATGGCCCCTCAATATTTTTTCTCGTAATATTTGTATGTACCATATGTTATTTACTACCATATTTTTAAATTATTACTTTTTTCGCATGAAATTACGCTGGCAAGTTTACAAAGTGTCTGTTCCTTTTTACAAAAAAGCATTAATTAAGTTGGAAATCTTAGAACTCTTAAAATCATAGAACATTTTCCTGACGTCTCAGTTAAACGTTGTGGAAATTGTACGTAAATTTTAATAAACATATTCAAAAAAAAATATCAAGGCTAAATATAGGCAATTGGACATAAACAAATACACTAAAAAACTTACTAGAAAAAATTAATTAGAAATCAATGTAATTGGAACGACTAAAATCAATCAAAATAATTAACTATTCTCCGCTCGTGGCAAAGTGTTTGAAGCTTTTAACTCAAAAATCGTTCCTGCAACAAGCGCTAGGTTCAAATCCTGCACCAGCTAGTCCCAGCACATTCGAAAGCGATCTCGTTCACTGCGCGAGCTCGTCATTGATCGACAATTCGAGAAAATTTAGCCAAAATTTGACAAACATGAACGTCTGCAACTCAGGAAGTTGAAACAATGTACTTTTAAATGTTAATTTTATATCTGCAGTAAATAACGCATTTTATACATATAATTTGTATACAAGGTCCTTGCCAAAAGTTTCTCAGCTTTCCATTCAATGAAATTTTCTTAGTCCATTATTAAGATGAAATTTCTTTTGTCCTTTATAACAAAAATTGGTTGAACAATTTGCTTAGCATACATTTACTAAATAATAAGAAGGTACCAACATCCAGCTTTATCGAACATAGTAAACCAAAAACTGCTCAACTAAAGCTTTTCGATGCAAGACAAAAGCTACAAAAATCCAAAACATTCCTCAAAAGCTGCAAAATATTCAGCGGAACCCTCGTAACGTTGTAAGTTTATATTGCATTAGGTATTAATTAAAATGAAAATTAAAAATTGCTAATATATTCTACTGGCTTTTTAACCTCACGCCTATAAGTATAAGCGCGTGACCTCTAATAATGCATAGTTAAGGGGACCGTCGCATTCGAGGCCGCTTTAGTCCAAAATCGTCGCCCAAGTGGTTCAACAGATTGCACGCTTACGGTTCCCTGGTTTCACAGAAAATGGATAATTCCGATCCCGTCGCGATCAGTGGAATAGCAGGAAAATTCCCGCAATGCCACAACGTGGAGCAGTTCAAAGAGAGCCTATTGAGAGGCGACGATTTGATAGATCATAACAACAGCAGCAGGCATCCTGCTGGTAAGTATACAATAACAGTTTTCATAGAAGTAATGTTCATGGTAAATTTTAAGGGTATTATGGAACGCCTACCGGTTACGGATCGATACCTATTATCGATAAATTCGACGCGTCCTTCTTCGGAATCCACCACAAGCAAGCCAACTTCATGGACCCCAGGCAACGGTTGCTCCTCGAATGCACCTACGAGGCTATTATAGACGCTGGCTACAATCCCACTGATCTGAGAGGATCCAATACAGGTAAACGACTAGCCAATAAATGGACCATAGCTGAAGAACTGCACAGTATAATCGATCTTTCAGGCGTCTACGTAGGAATATCGGCCTTCAACAACTACGAGGTATACCGTAACAGAGAGGACACCGACGGTTACACGAACATCGGCGTGTCCAACGCGTTGGCTTCCAACAGGATATCCTATTGCTTCGACTTCAAGGGGCCGAGTTTGTCGATAGACACGGCCTGCTCGAGCAGCCTGTACGCCTTCGCCGTCGCCATCAACGACTTGAACGCCGGCGTCGTGGACAGCGCCGTGGTGTGCGGGGCGCACCTCTTCTTCCACCCCTTCGATTCCATCGAATTCACGAGATTGGGCATGCTGTCGAAGGAGAGCAAGTGCATGGTGTATTCGAAGGATCGAAGCGGCTACGTGCGCTCCGAAGCGATGGTGGCTTACTTCTTGCAGAGGAAGAGCAAAGCCAGGCGGGTCTATTCGACGGTGCTGGGGGCGGCTTGCAACAACGACGGGTACAAGAAGCAGGGCGTCACGTTTCCGTCCTCCGAGCTGCAGTACGAGTTGATGGATACGTTGTACAAAAGAGTGAATGTGGATCCCAGGGATGTCACGTTTGTTGAGGCGCATGGAACAGGTTTGTTAGATTTTCATGAGTATTTAATGAAGGAAATTTTGAATAGATGTATTATAATGTCTAGAATTTCGTTTGCATGTCACTAAATTAAAACGTGTCCATTATAGGGTACAAGTGGAATTTTTCGATAGCTCATAATAGAGTCCAAAATAACACAATTATGTTTAAGGTTAAGGTTCATGTTCATTAATTGTTTTTTTGGTAATAACACCCAAAGAATTTAATGAATTTGGTTCATATTCATGGTGTCATCATACAATTAACATGTATCAATTCAACTTTGCCATAGTACAAAACTTTTTCTTCGTTTTTCCGAAAATAAAATAATTTACAAACACTTGATTTTAGGGCATATATGAACTTTTTTGTTAATTACTGCAGCAACTACCCTTCGGCAAAGCTATACATTTTCCCCTCATTAATAAAATCGTATTTCATTATATCTTCGACATTAATGTTACTGATACTATTTCGAAAGGGACCAAAGTCGGAGACGTGCAGGAATGCTTGGCCATCTCGAGGCATTTTGCCGCAGGAAGAACCAAACCGCTCCTCATCGGAGGCGTCAAGTCCAATATGGGCCACGCGGAAATATCCTCCGGCCTCTGTTCCATGACTAAAGCGATAATATCCATGGAAAGTGGAATCATTCCGCGAAACTTGCACCTGGAGAATCCCGACACGACGATACCGGGCATATGCGATAACAAACTCAAAGTACGTCCTTCTTCTGCAAGAGTTTCACGTTATTGAAAAAAAAATGCTTTCACAGGTCGTCAGCGAGAACACCAAACTAGAACCAGGCCTAATAGGCGTAAATTCGTTCGGTTTCGGCGGCGCGAATGCTCACGTCATACTAAAACCACACGATAAAATGAAGATACATTACGAGAAACCTAAGAACCGATTGGTGCAAGTATCTGGCAGAACCGAAGAAGCCGTGCTGCATTTTCTCAACGAAATCGAAGCCCACCAAGACGACCAAGAATACCTAGCTCTAATCGACGAAGTCCACAGGAAGAACATCGAAGGTCACAATTACAGAGGGTAAGCGCCTATCTGCAACCATTCTCTCCTTGTATCTTATAAAGCGCCATTACAGCTACACAGTTCTTGGAGGAAAACCGGTCAAAGAGATATGCCGGACCGCGCTCAACAGGCCAATCTGGTTCATTTACACCGGAATGGGTTCGCAGTGGAACAAAATGGGCAAGGATTTATTGAACATACCGGTGTTCAGGAAGACCATTGAGCGATGCGCCGTCGCTTTGAAACCCTACAACGTCGATTTATTGAAGATCCTCACCGATGATAATCCGGCCACGTTCGACGACATCACCAATTGCTTCTGTGCCATTTCCAGCGTCGAAATCGCCCTGACGGACGTGCTCCGCGAATTGGGAATCGTCCCAGACGGAATTGCCGGGCATTCCTTAGGAGAAGTGGGTGCGTAAGAAAACCCGGCGGAACAAGAAGGTTGGTATTAATCGATTTAATTGTCGTGCAGGTTGCGCTTACGCAGACGGGACCCTCACGGTCGAGCAGGCGGCGCTTTTGGGATATTCCAGAGGCTACGCCTCGACCAACACGAAGATAATCCGCGGTCAAATGGCCGCGTTGGGCCTGTCGAAGGAAGAGGCGCAGAAACTCCTTCCCGATGGAATTTACATCGCCTGCCAGAACTCCAAAACCAGCGTTACGATTTCGGGGCCGGAGGCGGAAACGAAGGCCTTCGTGGAGGAGCTGTCGTCGCGAGGCATCTTCGCGCGATTGGTGAATTCCGCCAACATAGCCTACCACACGAAGTACGTCGCCGACGCCGGCAGGCTCCTGCTGGAGTTCTGCAAAGGCGTGCTGACCGATCCCAAGCCGAGGTCGGGCAAATGGGTGTCGAGCTCCGTCAAGCCCTCCGACGTCGACGCCGAATGGGCGCGACTGAACTGCGCTGAATACCATTGGAACAACTTCTGCAACACGGTGCTGTTCGATCAGGTCTACGCGCACATACCCGACAACGCCATCGTCGTCGAAGTGGCCCCGCACGGGTTGCTGCAGGCCATTTTGAAGCGGGAGTTGAACAGCCAACACACCCACATCAGCGTTACTAACAGACTGAGCGAGGACAACGAACAGTTCTTCCTGAGCGGCGTGGGGAAGTAAGTTACGCGGCGCTTTCGTGCGCGAAAGAACTGATTAGATGATGCGTTTGCAGGATATTTTTGGCCGGCGGGCAACCGTGCTTGAGGCAATTGTATCCTGATGTAACGTTCCCGGTGTCGCGGGGCACGAATCATCTCTCGCAGGCGATACAGTGGGACCACAGCGTCTCGTGGTTCACTCCGAGGTTCGACTTCGAGAACTGCATCGGCAAAACCGTGAACGTTAACATAGCTGATAAGAAATACTCGTATTTGTGCGGCCACGATATCGACGGCAGGATCCTCATGGCCGCCACCGGCTATTTGGTAAGTATTAACGCAAATTCCTGCGAGTAATTACTGAGGCGTGATTTTCAGGAATTAGTTTGGCGGGTCGCGCTCGATTTGACTCTCGTCAAGAACATCGAAAATTTCCCGGTTGTTTTCGAAAACGTTAGGTTCCTGAGGGCTTCGGTTCTTCAGTACGGAGAAAACGTTTCGTTCCTGGTCAATATCATGAGATCTTCGGGGTATTTCGAGATATTCGAGAGCGGATCGGTGGTGTGCTCGGGGAAAATACTAACAGTTAAAGACATTTCCGCGGAATTCAGCGGTGCTGAAGATGTATCCGAACCGACTAAGAACGGATCGCCTGTTCTTAAAACCGAAGACGTTTACAAGGAATTCCGTTTGCGAAAATATCACTACAAGGACATGTTCAGGGGTATCGTCGAAGTGGATCTGTCGGGTTCCAAAGCAATACTAGAATGGAAAGGAAATTTCACCGCTTTCATGGACACCATGTTGCAGGCATCAATAATGGGCAACACTTCGAGGAAGCTCTATTTGCCATCATTCCTTCTCAAAGTTGTGATCGATCCCGCAAAACATATCAGTTTAGCAAACGAAAAAAAAGGTAAGATGACGAATCCAATCGAGCGATTTCCGATTTGTGAGTTTAATTAACATTTTAGAGATCCCCCTTTACTACAACCAAGACCTGGGCATCTTCAAATCCGGCGGAATCGAATTTGTTTGCATGGATACCATCTTGGCGCCTCGCAAACAAAACACCCAAGCGCCTCCTTTACTAGAAACCTACGATTTGATCTACTACGAAACCTCCGTCAAGAATCAGTACGATTTCCAAGCGGCTATTAGAATTGCACTGCAAATCGTCATTCAAAATTATCCGGGTATGACCAAAGAATTAAATATCTGCGAAGTCACCGCAGACGATATAAACGAAAATCTGAACAAAACTATAAAATCGATTTTGGATCTCCAACCGTTCATGGAAGTCACCTACGCCTCGAAGGCAGCGAATGAAATCAAAACCAAGTTTGATGTGATAGTCATTAACGATAAAATTATCTCCAACGTTAACGTAGCGACTCTAGCCCAACGCTTAACGGACACAGGATTCTTATTGTACAAGGGGAAATACGAGAAAATCTCGAGCAACAGTCTACAAATAATCTTCCAATCGGTCGCCGACGAGGAAAGCCTCTACTTACTGCGTCCCCAATGCGACGTCCCCAAAAATTACGATATCCTCCACATCTCAAACACCAACTTCGCTTGGGTGGAGAAACTGAAAGTTCTAGCCAAACGCGTCGATTCCCACACCGTCTACCTCGTCTCCCAAGACGAAGACATCAGCGGCATCGTGGGTTTCATGAAATGCTTGTTGGTGGAACCCACCAAACAACAATTTAGAGCGGTCTTCATCGACCAAAAGACCGAAGAGTTCTCTCCCAACAGCGAGCTGTACAGAGACCAGCTGAAGAAGAACCTCACCTTCAACGTCCTGAAGGACAACAACTGGGGCACCTACGTGCACCTTCCACTGCGAGACATCGAAGACAGGAAAGTCGGCAACGCCGCAGTCAATATCAGCGTTATCGGCGACCTCTCCACAATCACCTGGATCGAGAGACCCTTCGAAGGCCTAAGGTAGGACACCAAAGTTGTACCAAGGTATCCAACTCATCCAATACATCTTCTCGTTTTAGATACGACCAGGCCACGGACCTAGCTTACGTTTACTACGGGGCGTTGAATTTCAAAGACGTTATCGTGGCGAGCGGTAAGTTGAACATCGAGGACCCGCCGCATCCCATGAACACGGACGTGAGCATTGGCTTCGAGTACTCCGGCGTGACGACGAAAGGCAAACGAATCATGGGCATGGTGGCGAACGAAGCCATGGCCTTGCAGACGCACGTCGACGAATATTTCACGTGGGAATTACCGAAGAACTGGAGCTTGAAAGAAGCGGCGACGGTGCCTTGCGTTTACGCTACAGTAAGATTACGGTAGAGAACGATGCGCCGAAGTAATCGATCGATTTTTAGTGCTACTACGGGTTGATTATTCGAGCGCAAATGAAACGAGGAGCGTCCATTCTAATCCACGCCGGTACCGGCGGTATAGGAATAGCGGCGATAACGATAGCTCTGTCGATGGGTTGCAAGGTCTTCACGACCGTTGGTTCGAAGGAAAAACGGGAGTACTTGAAGAAGATGTTCCCTCAAATAGAAGATAAAAATATAGGTAATTAAACAGCATCGCTTGCATCAACGGAATGTTCATTGCGGTGGTTTCTTCAGGTTGCTCGAGAGACGCCACGTTCGAAACGATGATCAAAACGAACACTAAAGGAAGAGGCGTCGACGTCGTGTTGAACTCTTTAGCGGACGAGCTCTTCCAGGCGTCGATGCGTTGCGTCGCCGAAGGTGGAAGCTTCGTGGAAATAGGCAAAGCTGATCTAATGAACTCGTCGCCCATAAGATCCAAGATGTTCCTCAAAAACATCTCCTTCCACGGGGTGCACCTGGAAAGATTCTTCTTTTACAACAACGAGCAAAAAAGAAAAGTCCACGCTCTCATCACCGAAGGTATTTCCATTTCACAACCCTCTTGTTGTAGTGTGTTTAATAAATATTTTCCAGCACTTGCAAGAAACGAAATAAAGCCCCTACCTCACATGGTCTACGGGGAAAACGAAGCCGAGTCGGCCTTCAGGCTGTTGGCTTCCGGAAAACACAAAGGAAAAGTACTAATAGAAGTGAGAAACGAAGATTTGGTACCGATCACAGCGCCCATACGGAGCATTTGCGCCAAACCCAGCCTGTACTTCGACTGCAAAAAATCGTACGTGCTGGTCGGAGGCCTGGGAGGATTCGGGCTCGAACTGGCCGATTGGATGATCCAAAGAGGCGCCACGAAAATCGTGCTGAACTCCAGAAGGGGAATCACCGCCGGCTATCAATCGTACTGCTTGAAAAAATGGACGCAATTTAAAGAAATTACAGTTAAAATCAACACCAGCGATACGACGACTACGAAGGGAGCAGAAGAACTAATCGATTTCGCCAATCAATTAGGACCCGTTGGAGGTAACAAATCTCTATTTACAGTACTTCGTGTAAATAACAATCTAATGAAATCCCAGGGATATTCAACATGGCGTTGGTTCTGAAAGACGCCTTGATCGTCAACCAAACGAAAGAGACCTACGAGGACGTGTTCAAGCCGAAGATCGTTTCCGGCCAGAACTTGGACGCGATCAGTCGAAGAGCGTGCCCAGAGCTCGACCACTTCGTCGTGTTCTCCTCCATCGCCTGCGGTCGAGGGAACGTCGGCCAAACGAACTACGGAATGGCCAATTCCGCACTCGAGAGGCTCTGCGAGAAGCGGAAACAACAGCAATTGCCCGGCTTGGCCGTTCAATGGGGCGCCATCGGCGACGTAGGAGCCCTGGCGAAATTAGGAATAGAGGATAAAGTAAGTTAAATGGTTGATAGATTCATTGTGTAGCTTGTTACCTCTCCGAGGAAAGCGAGTTTTCATTCTCCGGGTAACAGAAAGGTTTCTTCTTTCAGTCTTTTGGACTTTTGTTAATTGATTCCTTGCGTTGCAGGTATTTAAAAACATGCAACCACAAAGTATCGCATCCTGTTTGTCCGTCTTAGAAATGTTCATGTTGCAAGAGAGGCCGATCGGATCCAGTTTGGTTCTTCAAGAGACCGACGAAACTACGCAGAAGCAAAACACTCGAACGCCTGCCGAAGCGGTGGCGCATATACTAGGAATAAATAATTTAGGTAACAAGAAAAACTCTTTGGGTACCCACGATATATCCATACTAGTAGAGGATTTTCGTTATGAACTTTATTTGTCTTTAAGATTTGGTGGATAAATCAATGACGCTCTCCCAGCTCGGTTTGGACTCGCTGATGGGAACCGAAATAAAACAAACATTATACAGAAACTTCCAGATCGATTTATCGCAGGAGGAAATAAGAAATTTAACGTTGGATGCCTTGGTGTTGATGAAAAACACCGAAGCAGCGCCGGAACCGGTCAAACCAGCTGTGGAGCAGAAGGCGAAGGCGCCAGTGGAAGACAATGTGCAGTACATTTTACCCGACGAGGTTGTCGTTAAAATGAACAATGTACGAAATTCGAGGAACGTTTTCGTGTTCCACCCCATCGAAGGTAACTTGGACTTGTTGATGCCGATGGGGAAGAAGTTGAATGCGACAGTGTACGGTTTCAACGCCATCAAAGGGAGCGACTTCGACAGCATGGGCGACTTGACGAGGTATTACTTGGACAGAATAAGGGAAATCCAACCGACGGGGCCCTATCAGATCGTCGGCTACTCCTACGGAGGAGTTGTCAGCCTGGAGGTGGGCTTGCAGATGGAGAAGTCCGGCGAGAAGGTCGATTTGACGTTCATCGACTCTTCGCCGCTGTTCGTCTCGACGGTCACGCAGCATACTTACATAAAAATCGGCAAATCCGAGTCGAAAACGCAGGATCGCATCTTGGAGGTGTTCGCGGAATCTTTGCCGGAATCGAACCAAGAGAAGGTAAACGATTTTCAGCTGGCGAGAGTCTTTATGATACAAGTTGAATGTTTTAGGTGAGCCAAATTTTGGCGACGGCTATGGACATGAACGCGAAGCTGGAAAAGATTTCGGAATACCTAGCGAAAGAAACGGGTATTGATTACACTAAAATTTACGAATCGGCTTTCAGTTTCTACAAGAGACTTATGCACTGCATCCATTATAGCCAATCCGAAATGTTTAACGGAAAAGTTCTGTTAATCAGGAGGGATCATAATCCTTTCATCACGGGCGAGGACTACTGTCTACAAGAGGTCAGTAAAACGCGGTTTTCTTTGAAAAAAAAAATATTAATTACCAAAATATTTTATTGTTGCTTATTTGCAGAACTGTAAAGAAAAAATTCAAATTATTAAATTGAAAGGGGACCACGTCACAATATTACAAGATGAGAATATACAACGGGTTGCCGACGCTATTAACAGGTTTAATGGTTTATAAGATTACAATAAATAATTTTTAAGAAAAAATATTTCGATTTGTTTTCAATGTAAATATGTATTTTCATATCATTATTGTATATTCAAAGGTGGTTTTATTTGATTCGAAATGAGAAAATGATTCTAATCAAACTGATGAAGTTGTTTTTGGACACTATTATTAAAGAATATACAAGACTACCCTTTAAAAAGCTAATTAATAGGTATTTCTTTTAATTTCCACATTTTTCTCGCATTTTATTAATCATTTCATCTCTTAAACTTGCTTATAAAAACAGGCTTATTGAAGTAAAATATCGGTAAAACAACGAAGACTCAAATTTAATTCACAATCATATTATGATAATTTAAGTTGTAATATTTTTTAAATTGTTATAATAATAAAGTTTGTATAGTATAGTAAAAACAAATATTATAGTTCGGCGGATTTACGCGCAATTCGAAACATTTAACGATCCTTGATCGAATTTAGGATGTTTGTTATACATCGTATCGATGCTGGCGATTAATTCCTTCCATTCTTCGTCCTCGCTGAAATCCGACAATTCGCCCAACAGGTCCTTCAGCGTGATTTCCTGGTTCATTTTCAGCGCGTCGAAGGGCAACTCCTCGATGAACTTCTGGATGTCCTCCACCGTGGGGAACTCGGTGAGAGGTTCCTTTTTCTTCACTTTCGTCGTATAGAACACCTTTTTGTACACGTATTTTTTGAAAAAGTATACGGCGAAAGCGCTGGATAACATGAATAGGAATTTTTTGTAGTGCTTCCTCAAGTCCATCTCGCTGGAAAACCAGATCAGGAGCTATAGAAAAATATTTAAATTTTGTAAAAGTGTATAGTCACTGTCATTTTCAATATGTGGCGTTGCATGAGGTGATGTCAATACCAGAGGTATTTTAAGGCCGATTTTGATACTATAATCACCAATTACTTTTAATAAAACGGTTCGTTGAAACTGATTCGGTAGAACTAATTCGTTGAAACAGTTAATAATGTTAAAATTATACAAATATGTTTTTTATATTGAAATTAAAATATTATTTGTTTAAACATGTTAGGCTGTACCGAGAAACCAGTGTTTGTGTCCGTTTATGACACATCTTAGCTTATCAAAAAAATAGAGGTATTTATTTAAATTTAATACATGGGCAAGTATGCAAAAGAACATATTTTCAGAATAATGAAGCTAATATACGCAGATTCGAGGTTTAATTTACGTAACATCGCCCACGCCAAAAAAAAATGAAAAAATGGAGAGGTTTGTTTTCATGTTATATTCTCCAAGACAAGGATTCGTACCTTAGTCTGTTGTGAATCCTTGCTGTGATATAAACTGCCCATGTTCACGAGGTAATACATTCAGCATATTAATTCGATTAAAAATTCAGTGTCGACCAGTATCTTTAATAAGTATCAACAAATTTCAATGCTAGATTTAAAATCTCGGATAGTAACAATTAAATAGTAATAGTTCTAAAGCACTAAAAGCACTCTATTACGCTACAGAAGTAAATAAAAGAAAGATAATATTAATTAATAGTTTTGTTCTTGCTTCAAAAAAGTCTTTAGTAGAAGGTGTAATTAAGAATATCTATTCATAAGCAGTACTTAATTAATAATTTAATGAATAATGAACCAGATAAAATTTGTTTCTAAATTTTATAAGATACATTTTTATAGTTATTACCTAAGTACAGACTAAATCAATATTGTTGTAGCTACACTGTAATAATCTCAATTCAATTTGCATGACCGGTATGGGCGGACTAATTTGGTATAACCGGGCATGATATAACCGCCATAACAGGCAAAAATGCCCGAAAGTTAACTCAAACTTTTGAATAAACTCCAGTTAACCTTCGGAATCGGGTTTCTCGGCTCGAAATCCAAGTTTATGTATGCAACAAAAACTATAACATTGCTCCCAATTCAGTTATCTTCTCAATAATAAGCGATAGTTGAACGCGAAAAATCGCGAGAAACTGGGCTATATACATAATGTATATAAATTATTCTTATAGAGATAAATAAGAATTTCATTCGGGGAAAGAGTGCTATTTCAACAGTGAACAGTTTAAATTTGTCTGCAACAAAATAAAGAAGGTAACTTTTAAATAAAACGTCCTGTATATTTTTTGTCTTTCTTAAATATTTTCTACCTAACCGTAATTGGTCTGATTGGAAAACAAAATTATATATAATATATGCGCGGTAAAACGTGCGTTTTTTACCAGGATATTGATTTTTTTTAACTATTTGTCCCTGATTTTACACCTACAATCATTTATGTACGTTATTCTAATATTCGCTTCTAAAGTAAACACTTATTGATTATATTGATTACCATAATGTTTTTATCGATAGTTTTCTATCTCCATTACGTAGACATAAGAAGTGTTTTTTTTTATATTTCAGATGGGGTCCCTTTTGTATCTCTGTCTACTGATTACAATTCAGTATTGCGCATTATCACTAGGTGAGCCTTCACAATACAGATTATACAGACCTTATGGGAACAATCAAGTAGTCATCACCGATGGATTCGGGCGATCTTTCCTGCAATCATCAGCCAGTTATAGAGGTTTTTTAATATTAATGATCATTTACATGGCATCACATTCATGAATATCAAATCACGATTTCCGAATATTCATGTAGAAATGTGCGATGAATTTCATAGAAATGAATGGTCATTATAAAGGTTATATCGAATTATTTCGAAAAACTTTTTCATATACTTTTAAAATGCCTCTGTTTTCACCATGAAATTTTTTCTAAAAAATTTGCTAGACAATTGAGCAAGGTCATTATAGCAATAAAATTAAAAAATCATTGGAATAGATTTATGTAATTCTCAAAATTAATCTTAATAAGATTTATGTAAATTATCGAACTGTTCAAAGCCACGCGTGTATACTGATTCATGCACTATTTTTTAAATCACGGTGAATGAATTAAATTTCATTAGAATATCTGCTAATTTGATCGCTAATTGTTACTAACGTAGGTTTCAATATTTAAAAAAAATGCGTGGGGAAAGAACTCCTTTTAATTATGACCTTGCATACTCCAATTGAAGTAACGATAATCATCTTTTTTTTATTACTGTACTTTTTTCTTACTGCATTATAACATTTACGGATTGCATACATTTGTTCCTTCTACATTTACCTAAATATAAAGTACCTAATATTTTACACAATACACCAACTTTCTTTTATCAATCAACCTCTCGAATTCCTAGCAAAAAATAGTTCAATTTTCCTCTGCAATTGTAGGTGTTCTTCACAATCTACTCTCCAAAATAGTCAATATAAATGTTAGTTTAGAAAAGTTGATGTATTGTAAGCACGATCAGAATCTTCTAACAACCATAACTCGAACACAAATTTGATTTATTCTATTCATTTGCACCGTAGCAGCCAGCACTTCCCAAGTCTCAGCAACTTGCACTTCGACCACATGCGGCCCAAACGCCCGATGCTACGTCATAGGCGGTCGAGCAGTATGCTCGTGCTTTAAAGGCCACACCGGCGACCCCTTAGTCCAGTGCAAAAGGTACCCAAAACCCCACCGAAACACCCCCCGTTCTAACCACCCGCTGTTTCAGGGAAGAGTGCTTGTACGACAGCGAATGCAGAGGCCAGCTAGCTTGCCGAAACGGCAAATGCATCGACCCGTGCGCCGGCACCTGCGGAGCAAACGCCCATTGCCAAGCCAGAGGCAGCACCCCGGTCTGCAGTTGCCCGGCCGGATACACCGGCAACGCGGCCATCTCCTGCCGACGGTTCAACCCAGGCGAGTACAACTCCATCAACACCCGATTTATTCGAGTCCGCTACAGTTGACATTCTATCGCCTTGCAGAGGAACTGTGCCACCCGAGCCCCTGCGGCCCGAACACCCACTGCGAGGTCAGGAACGGCGTGCCGAGCTGCTCGTGCCTGCCGGGCTTCCACCAAACGCCGTCGGGCGCCGTGGTGGGCGGCTGCCGGCACGAGTGCGAGAGCGACGCCGAGTGCGGCCCCATCCAGGCCTGCGTCGACTTCAAGTGCCAGAACCCGTGCCTGAGCCAGTGCGGCGAGAACGCCGAATGCGAGACGATCGCCAATCACCGAGCCGTCTGCAAGTGCCCGCCGGTAAGGGGACGTTTCGAGGGCCTTTCGATGGTGTACACGGTGCTTTTGTTGTAGAACTACTTCGGCAACCCGCACGTGTCCTGCAAGCCGGAGTGCTACGGCGACGTGGACTGTCCCAGCTCGAGGCCGGCGTGCATCTACGGCATTTGCAAGAACCCGTGCGAAGGGGAATGCGGCGAGGGGGCCAATTGCGAGCTGAGAGGCCTTACGCCGGTGTGTTCGTGCCCGAAGGATATGACCGGGCATCCTTTCGTGCGTTGCAGACCGTTCGAGCCGAGTTAGTGGAGTATTTTCATGTTTACTGCAACGTTTTTCTATTCGGTTTGCTTTTCAGGGGACTTGTGCGAGCCGGTGAATCCTTGCGGAACCAACGCGCACTGCGAGCCAGGATTCGATAGATCCGGAAAAGAAAGGCCTGTTTGTACTTGTCCTCATGGTTACACCGGGGATCCTTTGATCGCTTGCTTTAAAGGAGAGTGTACAGAAGACAGCCACTGTCCTGATCATCAAGGTTGTATAGACCTCAAGTAAGTTGAAATTTTCACCTAAAGCCTTTACTTAAAATGTTTCAATTCAGATACAGAGTGTCCAAGTAACGGTTTGTTATTTCAGATGTCAGACTCCTTGCATTAATAAATGCGGGGTGAACGCGAATTGCGACGTCCGCCGCCACATTGCTGTGTGTACTTGTCCTGCAGGATACTCGGGAGATGCTATCATACAATGCTATCCGAAAACATTCACAGAAGTTGCCAATTATAGACTTTACTGATGTTTAATTAAAGTTGAAAACGTTACCGTAACAACACTGTAGAAATTAATCTGTACAATTTGCGAAAAAATGCTATTAATTTTGTTAATAAAAAATTTTAATACATTGGTTAAGTGCGTTTATTTAGACTCTTAATAATACAAATTTCAAGATGTTTTCAAGATATCTAATATCTAAATTGGAAAATGTTTATTCGAAATTCTTCTCGCTACTTACCTGCCCACTTTTATTGATTATCTAAAATTTTAAACAGATTACTTGAGGTATTGAAAGTATTCGTTTATTCAGTTATAATCGGCCAACTAAAAATCAAAAATGAAATTAATCTTCACCTTAATATTATTGGCGACCACGGTACTGATGGTAAGAAATTACATCTTCTCTTTGTATGTTTAAAATTAAAAGCTTACTTATCTAATGTATCAGCTAAATGCTTTTCCATACTCCATTTTTTTAGCTAAATACTTTTCAATAAGAACAGGACTAACAGTTTAAACAAAAATAATTGAAAAAAGTAATTGAATCTTCAGATCGATGGCATCATCCAAGGTTCCACAACTCGGGCACATTGGTGGCCATTTTTAGTTTTCATCGAACGTAACAAACACTTGGATAGCAGATGTGGTGGCTCGCTCATAAGCAAAAATTACGTTTTAACTGCGGCTCAATGCGTCAAAGGGTAAGAGTCAAAGGGATAAGAGTCACTAGGTCAAAGGGATAAGAGTCGATGGGTCAAAAGAAAAGAGTCGTTGGGTGAAAAGATAAGAGCATTCAGACTGTTTCGATATATCGATTATAGAAATAATTATTGCCATCGCTCAAGAATTTATTAAGCCACATTTTCGGGAAGATTGGATTTTCTTGTTATCACGTTTTTATTATGATTACAGAACCACAGCGTTGACTCTGACATTCGGTTTGTTTGACTTGACAGACAAACAAGAACAAGGCCATGTTATTTACCAGGTACAACGCGATGATGTTAAAATTCACGAGTACTTCGATGAAACGACACTGGAAAACGACATCGCTTTGATAAAACTAGATAAACCCATCGAGATTACCGACACAATCAATACCGTGAAAGTAGCAACTAAAGATGATATCCAAAATTTAGTAGGTAGGAAAATGCGATAAGATAACCATATACACACAAAAAAATTACTGCATTTCGAGCTCATTAAGCAACATTTTGATTTGCCCGTGATAATTTACAGGCCAAGAGGCGATAACCATAGGATGGGGCCAAGTGAATCCAATGGGAACTCCCTTATATGCAGATGTGCCTGAGGCCATTTGGATACACGTGATAGATAGGTACGGGGGCGAGTGCTCGGAGCGCTTCGGAAGCCTCATACAAGAAACGAACATCTGTTGCGAACACGTGAATTTACCCAACGGGCCTAATTTGAATCTTTGCGATGGCGATTACGGGGGCCCTCTCGCCATTAACGCTACATTTTACAGTAGTGAAACACTGCTCGTCGGTGTTGCCAGTTTTTCGACGAAAAAATGCAACCTCGCTTATCCGAATGTTTTCACCGATGTTTCCAAATATACGGACTGGATTAAGGAAAATTCAGATGTAGTTTTTTAAAAATGAGTCTATTTTACAAACAATTCAAACAAAATACATAACAAATAATATATACATAGGTTACAGACAAAAAAATCTGTACGTATGATCGATTGTTATTACTTACTTATCTAATAAAACTCTAATAATAGTTTAATTGAATAATTTAAGTTTGCCTTCTCCACTTTAATAAATAAAATGACTAATTAGCTTCTCGCTTGATATATTTCTTTCACAATATGGCTAAAAGCAAACTATCAAAACTATGGGACAGTATTCATCATAGATTGTTATAGCTGTTAATTTTATGTACATAAAAGAGTAAAAGAATAAGGTTATTTGAACACTTCTCAATTTGACTAGGTACTTGTTCGTTAAGGCTTATAAATTCATTAAGTCGAAATGGAAATTGTTCCTAAGAAATTGTCTTTCTGGAGGGAACTATTAATTAATAAATACTATAGTTATCTAATTCGCTAACAATACACACACAGCTCACAATTGATTTTTTACTTTCAAGTTCTCAGCAAAGAAACAACCTAAGTAAATATGCAAACATGTAAAGCTGTTTTTGAGTTATATTTTTAGCTCTATTCATAATTTATTTCTTTCCTTATTATTATTATACGTGCATAGGACGTTTCTGGATTAAAATTCGTATATGTACATTAAAAAAAATCTAATCAGAACGATATGTTCAGTCTTTTATAAAGTAAAAAATGATTATTCGACCAAAAATCAACTCAAAAGCTAGACTTTGCTTAAACTATCACGAGAAGTCTATATATTGTAAAATACCCTTATACTTATCACTCACAATAGCATATAATTGCACAAAATTTTACGTTTGTTTTACGTTCAAGCGGCCTGAGAAGCGATTTTTTCCAGCCTCTTTTCCTCGTCCTCTTCTTCTTTGCTCTTTTTGAACAGTAACGGGCACATGCCCAGCAAGCAACCCAATGTAACGCCTAAAGAAACATAAAAAAAACCAATGTTATTGGATTATTTACCAACTTTGATTAATCGGTGTTGTAAACAGACACCAATAAAGCGGGAAAAACAGTAAACTTGCCCAAAACTCTGCCGGTATTGGCCGAATTCCTGCAGCAGCTCATATCCAATTGAATGGGAGACAATTTAGGCGGCCTGAAGCCGATTTTGTTGGCCAGTCTTTCGACGTAGAAAGCGGACCCGATGCCCATCACGTCAGACATGGTGTTCCCCAATGCAGCCGCTCCCATCGTGGTCAAGCAAAAATACGAGCCCACATACATGTCTATGTAGTCGCCCTGGAGAACATCATTATTCAAATAATGCCTCAAAAAATGCTCCTTAATAATTAAAAAATGTGTACAAAATGTCATAAAAATATCTGGATTAATAAGAAAATTTTGATAGAAGTTTTTTTTCTAAAATTGTAACACCCTGTAGTTCGAAAACTAAGAGGTTAAGGACATATATTGATATAAACTTTTCTTCTTAAAATCATCCAAGTATTAACATCTTGAAGTATCGGCACTCAATTAATTAACACCCTGTATAGCAATTTAATAAGTACTTACGAAAACTAACATGAAGAAATTGTCGAGGAATCCAAAGCCTATGAAAGGAATGGAGTTAGCGATGCCAACTGAAATTGATAAAGTGAGTTAGTGTGGAAAATATCGAGACATTTTTCGGGCTTACTGTCGATTAAATTCCTCGTCGTGGGTTTAGGAACTGCGGCAGCTGTAAATTGAAAATCAGATAGTTAGTATTTTTGATTTGTGTTCTCCCATTTACCCAAAAAGGATTATTTATTGGAGTACCGATGCCGAAATTATCTCAATTAATAAGACTCAACGGTTGTAAACTAGCTAAAAACCCTACTGCAATAACAATGGAAATTAAATGTAATAAAATTACTATTATAATGAAATAAATCACCCCTAATATTATACTGATTCATGCTTAAATATTATATTATTGTTAGTAATTGAAAGCTTAAATCCGATTCATGCTTTCTGAATTATAAGCACTGAATCCGGCCTAAGAAATCGCACTAAATAATTATATGTTAACAATGTTAGTAATGTTACGTAATTTTTGTTTTAAATGTTAATATCATGCATTGGTTTTTTTATTTAAACCGATGATAACCTTTTTTTGAAAGCGTTTAGTATGCACGAAAGCAACCTCCACCAGCATAGGTTTTACAAAATCCTACCCATTTTTTTCTTCATCCAATCTTCAGGAAATGTGCAATACGTTCCCGTGGGATCGACGTCGCCTAATCTGGGAAGTTTACTAGGCCTACCGAACTTGCTCCTCCATCTAGATGCTGCAAGCTGACCTTTAATAATAAGTAAGTTGGTGCATCTCGATAACAAACAGTAATTCATGAAGATGCTGGTGATAGTGATGAATATGTTCTGGAGTATTATTATACCACATTGTGCGTAGTAGATTATAAATTATAACAGTAAACTTAAACCCTGGACATCATAAGTAACCAATAGTGATAACGCTGGTAAAGTACGAAACAATACTAATTTATTACTACACAGTAAAAATAATATTATAAGAATACCTGTACATTTTACCTTCATATTCATCTTTGACTTGTTTTGATTGGAACTCGTGTAATGCAGTCATTAATACGTTTCTTTCTTCGCCGTTTAATCTCAAAATCAGCTCCTGAGCTTGCAGTTTCGATAAGCCCTGGGTGGTGCTTGTGGTCTCGGCATGTCCCGCTGTTCCCGATACCGTCGCACTTACGCTAAATTTTAAATTACTGTTTACGTTCAAATTCGCCAAGTTATTTCGGTACTTGGCGAATAATTGTACTGGTGCAGTGGTTTGTTGGAAACATCCAGTAAGCGATTTGTGAAATAAACTGTACGCAGATTTCGTTTTCAATATTTTTGTTGCCATTATAATTCTTATAGCAGCTGTTTATCGGCATTAATTGTTAATTCCTTTGTAAAATAACCTTTCATTCAGGGCAACAGGCAACCCTTTGACATTTTAACATATTGTTTTGACATTTGAATGACAGCTATAAAATTATTATTTAAGAAAAGAAGAAGAAAATATTATAATTTCCTGTTTTTTTTTAGTTTTGTGAACATTTATTTAGCTTATAATTAAAAATACGGTATCAATAAAATTACAATAAATATTACTCTTTAATTTTTGATCACTTGACTTTATTTAATTAGGCCTTTTACTTAAAATAGATGCCAGTCAGTTATATAATTCTTCGTGTTTTCTAAAGCCTTTATTCATCTGTCAATATTGTCATTTTATCAATCTGTCATTTGACAGAATTAAAAAAATTAATTTCAATAAAAATATAGACAGTAAAGTCTCCGGTGCGTCTAAACAAAAATATTACTTTATTGAATAATTAAGGTATGTACTCTTTCATTGCCTTTCCTTCAATATTACATCCACAACTTAATTGTGAAAAGTACTAAGACAGAAAAAATAATTTAATTTTACATCATTTCGCTAAAGTTAGAATATTTTTCAGATCTTTCAATCATGTCGAAATCCGGACATCCCGGCACCTCGGAGATGCAGCAGTCGGATAATCAAGCGCAGGTCTCACAGAAAGTTTGGGAAATATCCAATGCTATTGAAGTCGTTAATTCAGTAGATGAAATTTATCGTTACGACAAAAAACAACAGCAAGACATCTTGGCCGCCAAACCTTGGGAAAAAGAGTGAGTACACAGCGTGAATAACTCAAGAAAAAAGACTATATTTGATTCATTTTCAGCCCACACTTTTTTAAAGACATCAAAATATCTGCATTAGCTCTGTTAAAGATGGTTATGCACGCTCGGTCTGGAGGTACTCTCGAAGTAATGGGCCTAATTTTGGGCAAAGTAGACGGTAACACAATGTTCGTAATGGATTCGTTTGCATTGCCTGTAGAGGGTACTGAAACTCGTGTCAACGCTCAAGCGCAAGCTTACGAGTACATGAGTTCATATATCGAAGCTGCGAAGCTAGTAAGTACAAAATGCAGTTTAAATTAAGTAGGCCAGAAGTCTTCTAGACTATTCGGTGCAAAAACTGTTATGGGGAACGATGCAGAAAATTTGTTTTATAACAGGTTGGACGTCAGGAAAATGCCATTGGTTGGTACCACAGTCATCCAGGATACGGTTGTTGGTTATCCGGAATAGACGTAAGCACGCAAATGTTAAACCAAAACTTTCAAGAACCCTTTGTGGCTATTGTAATTGACCCGGTCCGTACGATATCTGCTGGTAAAGTGTGCTTAGGAGCTTTCAGAACTTACCCCAAGGTAAAAGGTTTCCTAATAAATAAATAAACTTATTCTAGACGAATTATTGTATTTTAGGGATACAAACCAGCAAACGAGGAACCATCAGAATATCAAACAATACCTTTAAACAAAATCGAAGACTTTGGGGTTCATTGTAAACAATACTATTCGTTAGAAGTGTCGTATTTCAAATCTGTTTTAGATAGGAGACTATTAGATTCATTGTGGAATAAATACTGGGTAAATACTCTCAGTTCATCTAGTTTACTGACTAATGCCGATTACACAACCGGGCAAATATTCGATTTGTCGGAGAAATTGGAACAATCCGAGGCGGCAATAGGTTCGTATTGATGTAACTGTTTAACATATCACACTCGCCTACCGACCACTAACAAATTTAAAACGATTAATTGACGATTCTTGAAACTTTACAGCATGTTGTTTATTTTGTTGCGACTTGAGTTTGCATTATCACACCGCGACTAAAATCTACCAGTATGTAAATTTAATTTTTAGGACGTTGTGGTTGTATTGTAGGAGGAGAAAAGAGAACGGAGGACAAGCTGCTGAAAGCTACAAAGGACAGTTGCAAAACTACTATAGAAATTATACACGGACTGATGGCGCAAATGGTGAAAGACCGGTTGTTTAATAGCGTTAAACCGGCCAACAGCGCTTCTTCGGAATTGCAGTGATTAGCAGAAACCCCTGTGGCGGAAGGTATAATTTTAAAAGCAGTTTCATATTTGAAATTATAATATTAAAAACAGTAAATTGCATTAAAGAATTCTTTTTTAAAATCTATATTGGTTTGAATATTTTATTTATAACAAAATGCTGTGTAAACAGGAACGAACTGATGAAAAATTCAACAAGCTTGTTCAAACAAAAAGTATATTTAAGAAAATACATTAAAATAATAAATGAATCTGGTTGTACATAACTACTATCACAATTTACGTTATAAAATAATTATACAATCTCTTAGGCTGAAAATATTCATTTTTTGCATATAAAATAATATCGACAAATCTTTTTCGGTGATACTTTTTTCAAATTAAACAACTTATATATTCTTACTAAATAATTAACTGATATTTTACATGATGGGAACTAGTTTATATTCCAATAACTAATTTACTTCTATACTTACTATTGTTTTGATTAATAAATAAAAATTAACTGGAGCTTATTAAACGACATAAAGACGAACCTTTAATAATGAAGCCTTGCAATATTATATGGTTCACTATTGACGTCCTCCGATATGGTTAGATGTGCTTCAGTCAGATACTAGAAACATTAAAGATTCCATTATTATCATCAAATGACTAAAAATAAATGTTACCTACTCATGTCATGCTACCATATTTCCTACCAGGTGGCCAAACAGGAACTTCCGAACCGGAATTCGAGGCCGGTGTTCGAGTAAATGCGTTCGTTATTGAATCTCTCAGACGTTCACGAAACGTTTTATATTCTAAATCTGCGTACTGATGTCCAAAATTAAAATCTGCCACTTCTATTATAAACCTGTATAAAGAAGATTAATAATAATAAAGTATTGAAAAATCATGCACAGCTCACCTGTTTCTATTTTGGAAATAGTAGGCAATTCCAAAAACAATCAATACCACAGCAGCCAAACTGAAAGCTACTGGAACCACTATCACAGATAACTGGCCCTCTTTTTTCACTACAATTAAAAAAATAGTACATTAAATCCATATCAAGGAATATGTACTATCAACAAACCTTTATAAATATTGACAGTTACAAGTTTAACTTCCTTGCTGACATCGTTTTCGATTATTATAATTATCGTGTTTTTGGGATAAGACAAGTATCTTTTTATGCTGAAATCGCACATATCCGTTTGCTGCTGAACTTCGCAGGTTTCGTTTCCGGTGATGTTGTACTCTCCCCTTTTGAATTCCACGCAGTATTTAAAGTTTTTGGAACCATTGCACTGAACTCTTAGAGAAAGCAGATCACCCGGTTGCAGCCAGTTGTTGCCCGTTACAGTGGTATTGAACAATGGATCTACAAAACCGAAAGAAAGTTATTAATATTAAAAATGATCGACGATTATATGCGAAACTATTTTTACCTTTTGTCTGAACAGCCTTAGAGAAATATCCATAAATTTTGTTCGGGTCTGTCGAAATATAAGAACTGTTACAGATGAAGGGAAGACTTTTATTGTAGGGCTTCAGTATTCCATTGTTCCATATTTTCAGATTAGACTCTTGAGGTGTATATTCATCGTTACTACTCCTTTTGACGATCTTAGAAGTCTTTGGTGGTGTGGTTGTTTGTTTTGTAGTAACTGTGGTTTTGGGAGTCGTAGTAGTTACGGTTGTAGTGGTTGGTTTAGGCGTTGTAGTGGTAGTCGTGGTAGTAGTAGTAGTTGTGGTGGTAGTCGTAGGCACTGGGGGTGAAAAATCAGCCATTACCAATGCCTCTACTAAATGAACCTGATCAGCTAATGTAAAATTAATACCAAATCTAAAAACAAGGTTATTAACATTTAAAAAAACCAATGTGTCCTTCATAATACTTTATATCGGTTGTTATTCCGTAGTAAATACAATCGACGAACCAATATGTTCTTATTGATGGAGCCGTATGAATAAAATCCCTATCAGTGGCCTTTAACTCAACAAGAAAATCGGTCTCATCCTTTGTGGATACATAATTGTTGGGCAAAGTTTTATTCGTTTGGTCTGTTATAAGTTTACCATTGAAGTTAGCTGAAAATTAATTGTAATGAAACTTAATTCTTACTCAATAATATTTGATTACTAACATGTTATGTAAAATTCCGTTCTGGCCGATCCAGCATCATAACAGAAACCTATCCAATTGCATTCCCTTATTATAACTTGAACTACATATGCACCAGTTGGATAAACAGACGCATTATAAGTAATATTCCAAGAATCTGTTCCATTTTGAACAAGATTGGACTGAAAACAAATCACATTGAAACCTTGGAAATTTACGTTGAGATTATCTAATTCATACCTCTTTTGTATGCCTAGGTATTGCACCATCGCTCCAACGAAATTTTATTTTATTCGTAGTCGGTTGATACCCACCATCATCAAAAACAGTCACTTTAAAATGTATAGTAGCCCCCCTCACAATAGGTCCATTGTTTTCCAGTTTAATTTCGTAAGCTAAACAAAAATACCTCAATCATTATTTTAATTATTATTATAAAATGCTTCAATTTTAATAGATCCAGGGGAATTACTGAACTTTTATCAATAACAAACGAGGGAGCAAATTAACATTATCCAGTCATACGATTATCAAAAAAATTGTTACATACCAGCAGAACAGCAAATTATCATTAAAAGGCAAATCAACTGTATTTTAAACATCTTATTACTACTTATTAGCTTATATTATGTACAAATTTCTATAATTTTTAACTTAAAAATTATGTATTGTATTTGTTTATGTCAAGACAGAAATGTCACATTTGACAAACATATGACCATAGAGAAAGAAAGATTTTTATTTTGTCTATGCATATGACTTGATCTATCAAGTTTGTCAAACTCTTCTTTTTATTTATAAAATATTATTGACTGTCAAAACCTAAAATAAAAGGTTCATTATTTTTAAGAATTAAGAAGACAACAGTTGTTCAAAACTAACCTCAAAAAATAAAAAAAGTCAACTGGTTGTTCAAATAAACTTATATTTTTACATTTCGATTTCCAAAATGCCTTTTTGGAATCAGAAGGATATACCAAGTCCTGCAATATCCACATGTAAAACAACAGAGAACGGTAAACAGATTGATTTTTGTAATAATTTTACTTAATTTTTGAATCTTGATTACCTCTTTTAGGTGTAATTGATCTTGACTACTTCTCTACACTTTGCCAGGACATTAAAACATTTTTAGAAGATAAGACAACTCTCGAAACGGAACATACTCTACTCCTTAGGATAAACTACAAAATGAAACTAAAATATCGTTCTTCAAAGGATTTTAAATATCTCGAGAAATTGTCAAAGTGCCTGAAAATACTTTTGTCTGTAGATGTTACTTCACATTTAGAAACGTTAATTGATCTTATACCATCGAGGTACGCGGAAATAACGTATTTGCCATCAAAACATTTGGTAGATTATTTGTTAGTAAGATTCCAAGGAATTTCGCAATTACTTTCGACAATCTGCGAATATTGCAAAAACGCGGCCTCTTACTTGTATTACCGCCTAAAATTAGGCCATCAATGGCAGCTTGCGTTTCTTCTGTATTCCCTAACTTCCAGAATTTTCTATTTAGCTAAATACAATATCAAGAACATTTGTATGTATTACGGAAAATTGAAACCAATCTCTAATAAGTTACAAACTACCAGTATGTGGCTTCCAGCGACTTATGAACTTCCTGCAGATCTTAAAGAGTGGTTGAACATCGATTGGTCAGAAATTGATCTCGATAATGACACAATAGAAATAATCGGTGATGATACTATCCCGTTCTTTAATCTAATTGATGATGAAGATGACGAAGACATAAGATTAACCGAAGAATATATTCTAATAAATGATGATGATAAAGTTCAACCAGACGTCCTAACCTTGAGAGGTTTTGATGTAGATGATGATGTAGGTGATATTATTGAAATAAATGACAGTGTAGTATCCGAAGAAACTGGCAATAAATCCGTGTTAACAATTGATGATGAAGAAAGTTCATCGTCAAATGGAAATAGTTCAGTAGAAATTGTAGAACCTGTTAAAAAGGAATATAAAAAAAATAGTTTTATTGGAAAAAACAAGAGAAACACTTTTAAAAATATTCCTGTCTTCACAACTGATAGACAACTTAAAAGTCGATTAAAACATACGTTTAATAACAAACCTAATTTTAAACATACGAAGAAACTAAAGGGTCAAAAGAAGAATAAAAAAATGAAGCTACTTGAAACCAAAATTAAAAAAGAAAGTCCAAGAAAAATCAAAACGGAAATTAAACAAGAAGCCCCAAGAGGTATTAAAAGAAAAATCAAATCTGAACCAATTTAATATAATCTACATATTTGTTAAATAAACTGTTAAATAATTTTTTTTTGCTGTTTCTTTACCTTAATGTGTTTTTATTTAATTTGGAATAGAGTAGATTTAGGGAAATAATTAACATACATACAAATACTATTTTTTTATTAAAGAAAGTCCAATTATTAACAATTTACATAAAAAACATCAACTGCTTTTTAATTAATTAAATGTTGTAAACCCTTTTATGAAGAAAATTTATTATACAATGAAAAACTCCTGCATTTCTAATAAATTATAATCCAATAACAAAATGTAAATGACTTGTACACAACCTTACTGAAAGAATGAAAAGTAAATATTAATTTAAACAGCATGGACATCCACATAATATAAATATCTCGTCTTTCTTAAACACAAACTTCTTGTAATTAAATATATTTGTCTATTTTCAATCTTTTAGTACAAAAATGTTTCACACTTTACATATAAAGTGATATAATTTGTTATAAATAAATAATAACTATATGAACATTGAGGTAAAAAATAAAAAAAAAAACAGCGATAGTTATTATTTACCAAACAAAGGATCACGTTCAGTCGAGCAAAAACGCTTAATGATAACTTTTACATTTAAAAAAGTAAAGCGCCCATGCCGCCCATTTCGCTTTGTTCCTTGACAAATATTTCGAAATATTGATAGATGATTGTAACAGCGAGCAAAATACCGGTTCCGGAACCGATAGCTCCCATGAAATCGGCGAGAACGGACAGGGCTCCGATACACAAACCGCCGAAAGCGGCAGCGGTGGGAATGTACCGGTTGAGTTCGTGTATCATGGAATGGTCCCTGTGACCTCTCATGACCATCTGTTGCTCTTTAAGCTGTTTCGCGACATCTTTAGCCGAACTGCCGGACACTTCGATCCACGTTTTCGAGAAGAAAGCGCAGGAACCCAACATGAAAATAATGTACATAACGGCGTGGACGGGATCTTCCAAGATGTGGCTCACGCTCTCGGGCGGCGATAAGTAATAGCACAAACCGCCGATCGGGTAAGACCTAGCCGGGCCGCCGCCTCCAACATCGGCCCAAACCCCCAAGAGATTAATGAAGAAGTTGCCTTGGAATTTAACGGCCAACATCTGGGATATAACGTACAAATTCGACACCAAAGCGGATTGCAAAATGATCGGAATGTTGGAAGTGTAGAAAAGTTTAATGGGATAGCTCGAATGCTGGCCACGGTATCTGGCGCTCTTTATGGGCAAATCGACTCTGAAACCTTGGAAGTATATTACTATAGCAAACACTAGAACTGTAGCTAGTAGATTCATCAAATTAGGAAGGTTCTGGCGGTAGAAAGCCTCGCGCAATCCTCGAATCTTGTCCTGTCTGGTGGTGAGCAAGTGGAACAAGGCGATGACGGCTCCTTCGAACTCCGTTCCTCTTCCAGTGTTGACAGTAGCCGGCGAGAAAGCCTTCCAGATGATCGTCTCGCAGATGTTTGTAGCGATGAAAAGAGAAATACCCGAACCCAAACCGTATCCTTTCTGCAACAATTCATCGAGCAGGAGCACGATGAGACCCGCCACGAACAGTTGGATGATGATCAGAAGGCAGACTCCGGCTCCTATTTCAGCTGGATCTCCGTACATTCCGGTCATTACATACACGATGGCTTGACCCACCGTTATAACCATACCAAACACTGTAAAAAGTTAATAAAAACGTGAAATATGTGAGAAATCGTGGTAGAAAGTGCACTTACGTTTCTGGGCGCCGTTAAACAGAGCCCTGTCCTTGGGGGTGTCGCCAACTTCGATGATCTTCGCTCCGGCTAAGAGTTGCATGATCAAACCAGACGTTACGATCGGGGAAATACCGAGTTCCATGAGGGTGCCTCTGTTGGAGGCGAGGATGACACGGATCCAGTAAAAGGGATCCGCGGAATCCGAGCTCATGATCCCGAATAGAGGAATCTGATCGAAGAAGTTACGAATTATTTCATCGAAATACGCAAGTCAAAAAAGGGAAAATTGGAAAAAAATATTGGATGCTTACCTGGCAACATACTAGAAAGATAAATAGCGTTATCGCTGTCCATAGCACTTTCTCCCTGAATTGTATCTGGAAAACAACAGGCCATGTTGGAATATTAAACAGATGGAGACTCGGGAATGAATGAAAATTATCAAGAGGATGTAAAATTACGCTTAAATATAGCTTATTTAAACTACTGAATTATTTTAGAGTGGTTGCGGAGTACCTAAGGGTGGAATTTTAGGGGAAAATAAAGTTGGGAAAACTCACCTTTCGCTCTGGTTTTGCAATTTCTGGCAGGATACTGCAAAAAGGCTTGATAACTTCCAAAAATTTAACTGAAACAAGAAAATACCGACTAAAATATGGAACAGACCCAATTAATACCTACGCCAAAAAATCATTTTAAAAACATATAAAAAGTAAATAAGAGGTTATAACTAATATTAAATCAAATCTAAAAGCATTACTTACTTCCCATTTTGCAGGGATATAGAGGATAATTTACTAATAAATCACAGTATTTTCATTAAACGCCTTTCCTCTGAAGGAACAACTTTTCGAACGGGCCCGTGTGCGGTTTGTAGAAATTTTACGGTACTTTTATCGAATTTGGCTTACACGTTGAACACGTATACGACACAACGGTCACGTGATCGATGATGTTGGCGAGTTGGCGTTTGCTTTTGAAATGTGTCACATTTTCGCGACGTTGCCAATCGCTGGTCGACTCATCTTTTTCGAAAATTACTGATTGTTTGTCTCTTATTTATTTATTATGTTTGAATTTGTTATATTTTATTTGTGCCAAAACGATGGTTATTGTTTCTAATTGCCCGCGGAGTTATGGGAAGGTGACAATAATTTAAAGCCGGCAACGCTGTAAAAACTACTTGCTCTTACTCATAAAAAAATTCCACTTTCTAATTCTAGACAATTTTATAGAATGTGTAAAAGTGGTTGCCTAGATGACAGGTGCAGTAAAATTTATTTTGAAAAGTTTACATAATTATGTATTTAGTTTAATATTTCTTTCTCATTTTATTGCTTTTGAGTTATTTTAGTTATTTTTTTTATCAGAAAAAAATACATTTATAATCTGTCTTTGTTCAACTCATAGAATTGACCAAATTGCAAACAAATTTACACTTACCCATACAGTCAAAAATTATCATACAAAAATTTTTATCATAATTTTTATTTAGATGACTCTTCAATTATTCTCATAATTATTTAATATCTACAATTATCCAGCATTATTCTTGAAATCGATGGAAACTTGAATTCATTTCGAGTCGCAGAAAAATATTTTTGTTTACGAAATAGGCGAAAAAATTGGCATATCCAAACAACAAAATTTATTTAACAAATTGCTCGATGTAAATAAAATTAAAACGAGCGCATCGCACAAGCGCCAATGCGCCGATAGTGCCTTGAAAGAAGTCTTTAGTTATTTGAAAAAGTGCAAATTCCAAAATCTATACGATTCCGATTTCTTATCGAACTACGACTTCGAGTGCAAGAAGATAAATCTCGTCGAAGAATAAACAAAAACACGAAATTCCTTTATCTGCATAAACATTCTTATAAACTAATAAAACACACTGTAACAAATTGGATAAATTAATGTAATAAAGTTTCCCCGGCGGTTTGTTCCATTCCGATATTGTTCTTCACGTCGGAAATGCGCGCTTGTCCTGGAACATTTTTTCCAGAAACCGGAAATTAGAGACTAGTTTTGTGAACAACCACATCTTTACAATGATAGGTAAGATCATGAATTTAATACCAAGAAGACGAATTTAAAACGCAACAAAAATAATTTTTACCCAAAATATCAACTTTTTGTTTTAAAATATTTTCCGGAGAAAATTTTAAGGAAAGAATTTACGAAAAATCATTTCATTTTGGGTCGTTTTAATTTTTTATCGACCTTTTCATCGTTTTTAGATTTGATTAGAAATTACAAACTGATCATTAAAGAAAAAAATCAACAATCTGATTCCGACTCGGAGCGCCAGAGTTCAACTTCTTCGCCTGATTTATAGTAAGTCTTAATTAATGTAAAGGTCTTCATTATTTCACTTTATTGTTGTATAATCCTATACATTTTTTAATAATAATATGAGAAGCTTGGTTTCTCTTCAAGTAATTTCAAGTACTCTACAATAATTCTAAGTTCCTTTATATTTTAATTTCTCACAGCAGTTCTGACTGCGGCGAGCCAATGATATTCGAACAAGAAATTTGTTTTTCTGATAGTGAATGCGATATTGAAAATTCCCAAAATCGTACATCAAACAAGCAGAAGCGACAAAATAAACTTGAAAATGCTAGAAAGTAAGTTTATCACAACTAGATCTAATAATTAGATACCTTTCTGATGTATTAAAAGTTGTAATTATTTTAACGTAAATTTTTGCATAGGACTGTGTTGTTAAAATCGGCCTTGACACCAGCATATCTTATTTATTTATTTATAATAATCTATAATACAATCAAACTACATAAAATAATCATGTAATAATTCTACTTTTGGGAGTTAAGAAATGTTTTTGTTGCAGGAAGCAATTATCTTACAACAGTATTACAATGAAGAACGATGATTATTTGTTCGAGAAACTCGATCAATCCCTGCTAAATGAGGTCGTTTCAGAGAACTCCAAATTGGTAAGATATTTGATAAAAATCTCCAAAAAATTCAGACAAATTTCCCAACTAAATATTTCAACGTATCGCTCATTCATATACACAATAAAGTTTTAATTTCTTCATTTTTTGCTTCCCTAGTATATTTAAATGAACTAATTTTTCAGCTCTCTACTAGATTAATAAAAAATAATTCTCAATCAAGTTTCATTAATTTTGAAACTACAGATAGCCCAAAGAACAGTTCTTTAGTTACAATGTAAGTACTTTATGCTAGGAATTTAATTTAAAAGTATGTCCAAGTGCGTTCATATGTATACCAATTTTAATGAATAAATTATTAGTTTACTCATTTAGAGTACATTTTCGAATTGATTAATAATCCTTTGCTATCTAATTATTTATATCTACTTCACAAAAAAGATCTATTTCATTATACGATTTGAAATAGAATCCATTATCAATGTAGCATTGATATTTCCAATAAAATTATTTATTTTGTAAAATGATACAATATTAAAGTGGATTTCATCAGAAACAGAAACGAACCGTATTTATTAACCAGAGGTCAGATTTAACGGATTTTACATCTTATTTAAATTGACACTATGGGTTAGATGATCGATTACCTACTTTTCAATTCTCCCCATCAATAAACATATTTTTAATGCTGAATAGATCATGCAGCACTATCGATTATCCACAGGAAGGGATCACACCTCGAATCTGTTCCTTCAATGCAATTTTTAATTTTTTTCATCAAAGGTTTTTGAATTGTAGATTCGCGATATGGAACACCACAGTGGGATCTTCGTTGTTAGCAATGGCATGGGGCATGGGAAAAGCTGGTTTGTTTCCTGGTATCGTTATAAACCTAATAGTCATGACCATTTGCTTGTACACAGCCTATGTTCTACTTAAAGTCAAAGAAAAGCACGGTAAGAAAAACCAATTAATACATACAGAAGCTTCGTAAAATTTGCTAAAGTAGAGGATTATAAAATGTTTATAATTTTTAGGTCCCATTGGCGAGAATTTCGAGGTCCCGGAGTTGTGTAGATTGCTCATCGGCCGATGGGCTGAGCAAGTGTCTAAAGTATTTTCACTGGTTATTTTAATAGGAAGCGATATTGTTTATTACATATTGATGTCCAACTTCTTGTATAACTTCGTTGTATTTATTTACGGTAAGTATCCGATAATACAGGATGTCCTGCATAAGAACCGACACAGCCTCGTAGCCTAAAATGCCTGGACACCCTGTATATACTTTGATATAACTATTTATATCACCTGATATAATTTATTATAATAAAATTGTAATTGCAGGTTACTTCAACGAAGTAGGAAACCACAATCCAAATGCAGACACTGTGCAATGTCCCAAGGAAATTCTAGTTGTAAACAAAACACATCTGGTCCAAAGCGTTGTTCCCTCGACGCCGTTCTATACTATTTGGAACCTGTACAGTACGGTTCCGTTAATTTTAGCTGTGATAATGTTTCCCCTTTTGAACATGAAAAGCCCAACATTCTTCACCAAATTTAACAGCTTGGGTAAATTAAACAAAACGCTTCCTAACCCTTTTGTAAGTCTCGTTTTATTGAAGGTATTGTGAGCATTTCGTATCTTATTATCTTCGTCGCTGTGAAATCATTCGTTTGGGGCGTCCATTTGGATGACTGGTCGGGGGAATTCCACATAAAGTCCACCTTCTGCGTTCTGAGCGGGACGCTAACGATGAGTTACTTCATCCACAACATCATAGTTTCTATTATGATGCAAAACAAGCACCAAAAATCTAACGTGAGTTCGTTTATTATTAGAAACTTCGTTTATAAACGAATTTATTTACAGGGAAGAGACCTGACTATTGCCTTTATCCTGGTGTCTTTTACCTATTTGTTTCTTGGTGCTGCGTTCTACATCGCTTTTCCGCTGAAGAAAACTTGTATCGAAGACGTAAGTGTGATTAATAACGAGTTTAGAGTATTTTATAATGTAATTTTCTTGCAGAATCTCCTGAACAATTTCTCGAAGCAAGACGTGATGGCTTTGATAGCGAGAGTACTTCTGTTTTTCCAATTGTTCACGGTGTTTCCCTTCGTAACGTACATGCTGAGAGGAGAAATTATGAGCTGCATTAAACTGATTTTCGGCAAAGAAAGGCACGGCGAATTTTCGTATACAAAAACCATTATAATTAACATAAATATTGTGTTTATTTGTTTAATGTTCGCCTGTTTCTTGCCGAAAATAGGAACCTTAATCAGGTATATTTAGTTCTGCCGTTGAAGTTTGTTTATTAAATTTGATATGTTTCAGGTACACCGGAGCCCTGAGTGGCCTCATCTACGTGTTTGTGATGCCAAGTCTTCTTAAAATGGCATCTCTTAGGAAGGAAAATTCCTTGACTTTTACCAAAGGATTCTTGCACGTCGGATTAATTATTCTAGGCGCGCTTAATTTGATTTCGCAGTTTTTTATGGAGTAGACAAAAATGCAAGAAACATCAAGAACTATAAATTTTATCACAAAAACCAGTGAGGTTTATTATTCAACAGGAGAAAACTAATATCACTGACGAATGATGAGTAATTATAATTTTGTTACATTGAAATGTATTTTATATTTACTGTATTAAAGAATTATTTCTATTAAACTTGAATTTAAGTATGAGCAATTCGAAATAAATCAGCACTGAACTGTATTAAACAATTTATTAATTCATTACAAACTAAGCTTTCAATGCGAATTTCCTTGGGGGGAATGCAGAGCGCTTACGGATATCCTTGGGTGTCTTGATCCTCGATTCGTGTGTGGTAAGGGCACGACGGATAGCACGGGTCTTCTTGGGTCGTAGATCTAAGGGCTTGTATTTCTTGTCTTTGTACAGTTTGCGCAAATTTTCCTTTTGCTTCTGGTGCATAACAATGTACACGCGAGCGATTGCTTTTCGCACAACTCGGCTAAAATATAAAAATTAATTACAATGGAGCAAATTAACGAGAATATTGTGAACAAATTGAATGTATCAACTGATTTGCTGTTGAGTGTACTGATTTTTTCCTTCAAGATAGATTTTCATACAAGAAGGAACTAAACTAAATTTGTGTAATAAATTGTCAGATACATACATTTTTGAGAGTTTAGACGGAGCTCCACCGGTAACTTTAGCTACCCGGAGGGAAGTTAACTCCGTTTTCAATTCATCGAGCTGTTTCGTTAGCTCCTTTTTGTCCTTGGTCCTTAATTCTGAACACTTCACCTTACCCTAAAAAATTGAAGATGCAAAAATTTGTTGTAGTAAACGAACATTTTTTACGTGGAATACGAAGGAATATTGAAAAATACCAAAACTGAAGTGACCCTTGGACACTTAGATTGATATTTTTTCGTAAAAAAATGTAGGATGGACAAATATAAATTATATTTTAAAAGATAAATAACATACCATGATTGTTTTTGAATAAAACAATTTCTGAAAGAAATTGACAGAGGTGACAGAACAACGACTTGACAGTATTAGGTTATATTCTTCTTTTTGAAACGTCACCTATTAAGTAAGTGTAGAGTTCATATGAAAACGTGTTGTAACCGAACTTTATACAAGATCTGGTAAATTTAAAAAAGAAGAAAAGAAAATGGCGTCATATGTCAAAATTGACGTATATATGTCAATTCTTATAAAAAATAAAAGTTTGGGTGTGTTGAATGTTTATTAATCATTTTTTCGTTAGTCATAACATAAAATAGAAACCAAAGAAGTAAACTATGTCGAAAAATACATCCAATTCCGCCTTTCGCAAAATAGACGTTGATCAATATTCCGAGAATAATTTTAGAGAAGATGAAACCGATTCCGGTGGATCCGCTGGTGGGCCCGACGAAAACGAAATTAACAATTTATTACAAAAATATCCTTTTTTCATTAGTTTAACCGATTTAAAAATTTCAATGCAGTTGCTTAAATGATATTTTCTTAACAGATTATTCACAGGGAAGCATTTAGATGCCTTAAAAGTAGCATTAAATAATGCTCCTTTAGGAATCAAAAATCAACAAATTAAAGTAAGTAAATAAACAAAATATCATATAAAAATAAACCACAATCAATTTATGGCTATTTCAGGACAATGCTTTCAACGTGACATTCAAAGTTCTGTTGTCAATAAAGCCATCCCAAATTGAAGAAATAATCAATTCTTTAAATGTAGATTCCTTGGATACGCTTATGAAATATGTTTATAAAGGTTTCGAGTACCCTTCCGAAGGAAGCAGTGGACACTTATTACTGTGGCATGAGAAAATTTACAATGTTGCAGGTGTTGGTTGCATCGTTAGAGTATTATCAGATACTAGAAGAGTATGAATTCGAATTGAATTAGCTTTTATCCTATTATGAGCATCATTTTATGGAAGTTTCTTTTAATTGCAATAGTCAATTTTCAGATAAGACTGCTTTATAAATTATCCCTCGAGAACTTTATTACTCAAATTTTGTATTTTCTGTTTTAAGTTTAATATTGTAAGGCATTTTTTGTGGTTTTTCATTTATAATGCTTGGTTGATAACCATTTTAATCTAATATAATTTTTTATGATCCTTAAATTTATTTAACAGATAAAATCAAAGTTTTCCAATGATCTTCCTATATTATATTTTATTTAAATTCCAATATGCATCATTTATCTGTGTAAATATTAAAAATTTACATTAATTTTATTGTTGTACTTCAGTTCGCTATTAAATCTACAATTATATTATTTGAATTGTGCTGGACCGGTTCCGAACAAACTATTTCCTTGTTTTGAAACGGCTCGTGATGGTGCGAATCCGAGCAATTTTTGGATGTTCTGTCTAATAGACATTGTACAGAGTATATACAAAAATATGAAAGAACAATCGTAAAAATCTTCGCCGGGAAGATTCCTGTGGCTGAGGCCCTGAATCCAGTTCAATGGCAGGAACGGGAGTCTAGCTACGACTCTACCATCAAAACTAAAAATTAACGGGAGATTTAATTGTGTTAAAAATAGGGTATTTCAAGGATAATATAATGTTTACTTACATGCTATTAAACATACTCAATAAAGCAGTAAAAGCAAATCCAATGGCAAACATTGATTTCATTTTAACGAAGGATAAATCTCTATTGTTGTTCTTCAGCCTTTCTTCTTCCCTCTCAATTTTCTTCTTGTGTTGTTTGTCTAAAGAGTCTCCGTGGATTTCTTTCCGTTTTTCTACTAAAATTTAACGTCAACCATTTAAATGAGCAAATAATTATTGATAATTGTCCTACTTACATTTTTTACTTTGTTTCTCTACTTCAGCTTTCAACTTTTGGTATTTTTCCGTGCGGTAAACCATTACCCACGTTAATCCTTCACCTAAGAGTGCAGTGCATATTGAAATAAATACAATTAAAAGCGTATCAGCCCACATTTTCAGAGATCTTGTTTAAATAATAAAATTGTCGATTTGGATTTTTTTTAGGTTAGGATGATTTAGTGACAGAATCTGTACGTGTCAAATATTTTAGTTAACGTGGCCTTTTTCTATGATGGTATGAGAAACTTACAAAATAAAAAAAAACTTCAATAATTAGAAAATAATATGGAATTACATTTATTGAAGTCATAATACATTAATTACTTTGTTTACTTGAGTTTTTAAATAGTTTTAAAATTTCACAATTCTCCTTTTTTTTTCGGTCTATTTCAATTTATCTAGGTGGCTGGTGGCTTGCATACATTTCTTTCATTTCTTTGTTTCTTAACCTAGAAAATAACGCTACTGATTTCGCCGCATAAAATAATATAAATTTAGTTTGTAAAACTAATAATAGTAATAATAATGGTTGTAATTGGGCTTGGAGAAACATTTCCCGATTTTTCGGCAAAAACTACCATAGGAGACATAACGTTTAAAGAATGGCTCGATAAATCGTAAGTATGTTTAATTACAAGTTAAAACTATATTACCCATAAAAATAACTACCTCATAACTAAACATATGTTAGGTAAAATAACTTTAATTTACATTTTTAGTTGGGGAATTTTGTTCTCTCACCCCGCGGATTTCACTCCTGTTTGCACGACTGAGCTGGCTAGATTAATCAAACTGATCCCGGAATTCACCAAGCGTAACACTAAAATTATCGCGTTATCGTGCGATTCGGTGGAAAATCACGTGAAATGGACCGAGGACATAAGAGCATATGCCAGTCCCAGATTATCCGGCGATAATTTACCGTATCCCATCATTTCGGACGAGAACAGGGACCTCGCTCTTATGCTCGGCATGATAGACAACGATGAGAAAGATTCCGATGGCATTCCACTCACAGCTAGAGCTGTTTTTGTGGTTGATCCGAATATGAAGTTGAGATTGTCGATATTGTATCCTGCCACTACCGGGAGGAATTTTGAGTAGGTTATTGAGATTTGTGTGGAAGATTATCAAGTAATTGGTTTTGTTTTCAGCGAAATATTGAGGGTTTTGGATTCATTGCAATTGTGTGATAAGCACAAAATTGCAACTCCAGCAGATTGGAAGGTAGGTAGAAATGATAACTAAAAAAGGGGACTATTTAGGAAGGATCTGTTTGATTTTTAGCAAGGAGATGAAGTGATGGTTCAGCCAACTGTACCGGAGGAAGAGATGAAAACGCTGTTTCCTTTCGTAACTGTAATGGCTATGCCATCGGGCAAAAACTACATGAGGAAGATTCCACAGCCCGATTAAAAAATGGGGTTTTCATAAATTGTAATCCGAGTTCTGTGTTAGATTGTTTCTAAGTTTCAAAATTAAATTATAGTTTTTTGATATACGTAGTTCTTTTATTGATTAAATGCTGGATATGCTGACAGAAAGTTATTTAAGTAGTAATACATTCAACTAAATCACAGGTATTTTTGAGAAATGCCTAAAGAATGATATGTTATAAAAATTATTAGTTAATATTTAAATAATTAACAAGTATTTTGGCACATACAATTAAACAGCCGATAAATTTGTAATATAAAAATATTTATAAACAAAACATTAAATTTGACGAATTGTAAACGTATTGTAAAAGTGTACATAACAATTGCTAATCTAAGCGACTATATAAATATCTGGTAAAATATTTTTAGATTAATTTACATTTCATGGGATATAATAATTACAATTAAATTGTTGATAAACTTTTTTCGAATAAAACATGTACTGTTCTTAGAACAGGATCCGCTTCAACTTTTGATTCGTCATTTCGCTTTACACCTAAATTAAAAATTCAAACATTTTTTTAAATCATAAAAGAAAAATTATCACAATTCGAATCTAAAATTAACAGGATGACAGCCAATCGATTTATCACAGAAAAAAACACTAAATAGATAAATTCGGATCCCCTCGTAACTTCAACCACTAACCACTCATCCCTTGCAATGGCAATATTTCCTCAAATGCGGCAGATCATCCTCCACGCACCTCGCCTGCGCCCCGTAGACGTTAATCCGGCTTATATCCCCGATTTTCAACCGCAGCGCGTCCGAAGACAATTCGTGCGCGACGCTGGCCTCGAACAGGCCGCCGCCCGGCGTCGTTTCCACTTTGAGCTGATAGGTGCTCTCCTTCAGCGCCGTCCTGGCCGATAAATCGGCCACGAAGCCGTCGGTGTCCGAGTTCCGCTTGAACTTGATGAGGTCCTCGTTGGGCTGCAGTTTGCTCACCCAGTAGATTCGCGATATGGACAAAACGTCGCACAAGTCGCGGTGCGGGGCCGTGTAGGAGTTTATGGTGTGGGCCAGTGCGCTGGCTAGTCTTTCTATGATGGGGTCCGAGTCGGGGATGGCCTGCCAGTCCAGGCAGGCGCACCAGTGGGGCTCTATGTAGGCGCTGGCGCAGCTTCTCGAAGGCGGTATCTGCGATTATAAAGTGTGCAGATTTTTGTAAAAAGTGTAAAATTGACTTACTTTGGAGAAAAGCGATATGGATCTTTGACTGGTATCAGATGTATCGTCCATTTGTAATACGTTTTGTAACGTTTTGTGGATATCGAAAGGGGTTGTGAGTATGTCGAGGTTACTTTTAAAATTTTTATAGAGCCGTTGGTGGTAATTTTTGAACCATTTTGGAAATGTAAAGGAAAAGAATGGCAAGCGCTCTTCTTGCTTGCCTTGAATGGTATTTCTTATTTCAGCAAATCTGTAATTAACAATATAAACATATATTTGTGAACAACTTGTGGCCTTTTACTTGCCTATGTCCGTGATCAGCCATTAATATTAAAATGGTGTCGTTTAAAGCCCCGGAATTATACAAATCAGTCAAAAACTTTAAGAGATCATCGTCTGCTACACCAACGAGATTGTAGTCGTCATGAGAGAGTTCTCCGTGAAATCCAAATAGAAATTTAGGCTTGGATTTGTAAACTTTGAAAAACTAAAAATTACATCAACTTACAAAAAATCTTCACAAAGTACTAAACTTACATCTTTAACAAGATTGAACATAATTTTATGTTTCGGATTCTCACCTACGCAATATTTAGGCCATTTACTTTCTTCTTTTAGAAGAGCCAAGTAATAAGGCCGCATGTAATGGTCTGTAGGAGGTTTCTAAAAGTAAAGCAATCACTAAAATCAAGTAATTATTTTAAAAATTATAGTGTTCAAATTGATTTACTTTGAAACCGTTCAATCTGTAGGTGAAAGTTCCTGTTTTGGGAACGTCCTCCAAGAATGCCGTAACGTATCCAGATTTTTTGTAATCGTTCCAGATAAACGGATACGAATCTACAAATTTGGAATTTTTTACCCTTTTGCGGGTGTCTGGTAATTCTAATTCCGTTTTGCCTGTGAGTATGGGTATTAAAGCTTGAGGAGTTCCATCGCCTATTATGTTGTAACTGCAAAATTGTTGAATAAATAATTTTCCACTTGAGGGTAGTTTAGGACAAACCCTTTCAATACATCAGTCTCTAGTACAGTCTCGAGGAATTTATAACTTTTTGGCAATTTCCTAATAAATGAATTTCTAGAGAGCGAATCAAAACCGAACATAAGTACGTTCATTTTTATAGCATTTTCTGGTAGTTTACTCCAGTTTGAATTGTTCCAGACAGTTTCGTCCTTTCTGATACCCACAACAGTAGAAGACCAAATTTTATCCTCTGCTGAACAGTATATTTTTACAACATCGCTTTTTTTTAGATTATAAGTAGTTCTTTTAACTGGTTTGCTATAAGTCAGGCCAAAATCTGTTTTCCTGAAAATGTCTGTAAAGTAACATTTTACAGGTCCATATTGTATGTTAGCACTCTCTTGAATCTTGCATTTCGAACCCTAAAGTCAAAAAGAAAATAATTTATTCAAAATGTGATTTACTTTTGAAGTATTATTTTCTTACCCTACATTTCACCCAATCGAATCCTGATTTTGTGCAATCTATTTTTGGAACTGTACGAACGAATTTCATAATTTCCGGGGATTTCACCGGAAGATTTGGTTGCCTGCATGCTAAATTACTGGCTTGCGTTTTAATCAATTGATCTATCAATTTTCTGAAAATAATTTTGGTATTTAGTACAAAAAACAAAATTTTTTATACAAAATAAAAGTAAATTGGTAGTGTAAATTTTTAGTTAGAGTGTGGAGTGCAAGAATTGTTGAATAATGCACCTACTTTAAATTTTTAATACATTTTCTTCTAATAGTAAAGTGTATAATTTTGTCCAATAAACCTGTAAATTAATTAATAAATTGAAGTCTGTTTAAAAAAATTGTATTTGGATAATTTGATGATTTTAGTTAGATTACTTACAATCGCTCCTTCCTATCTTCAATACCTAGTAAAGAATATTTGGAGAAAATAAATAACGTCACTAAACAAACCACCAACAACGAAGTCAAAAATAATTTCTTGTTTTGAACAGATCTATTAATTAACATGACATCAAAAATTGTATAAATTCAATATTCAATTTATTAAAAATGCCATTATCATTGAGCAGTGGGTAGGGCACTTGCGCATGCATAAAATTTATCTCAATTTGGTGTTTTATTTTTATCCAAGGGTAAGGGTATCAGTTTTGTTTTGCACTATTTGTAATCAGTGCATTTGTTTGTATTTGTTTTTATTTTCATTAACCTTGACATTTCAATTTGACAGAACAAAAATTCAAAAAGACAAAAAAAATGAAGAAAAATTCTAATCAATATGGTGCCATTAACTATTAAGTTATGCAGTCACTCAAATTTAATTAATTTATTCACAAAAACAGAAAACGTTAACAATTCTAACTATCATTAATTACATTAATAATCAATTAATTGTTTGAAAATTATTAGTTATATTAAATTTATTTCTTCTCTTTTTATTATGGTTTGTTTTGAGGTTATATTGTGTGAAGGTCTTTCAAGAACACACACACACAGATTTCATTAAACAAAAATAGACTAAAAGAATGTACAAGTTCCTCTACAAGTTCTGTGAAAAATAGTCGTTTATCTGCGAATACAGAGGCTCAAATTATTAACAATGGTGAAGCCAAACAGTGCAGAGAATGGAAACGTCGACCAATTTTTAAAAGTATCTAACTACGAAGACACCGTCAGACAGCTAGATATATACTATGGAATGGGTGTGTACGATTTAATATTTTCCAAGATATTTAAATAAAATTAAATACGTTTTAGTAAAAAGGCAATTACTGAGATATCAAAGTCCAATAACTGGCTTGTTTCCTGCCTTTTCATCGGACACCGAAGTAGGAAGTGTTAGAGAAAGCATATACTGTGCAGCTTCAGTTTGGGGTTTATATCAAGCATACAGGTATAATAATTATCTTTATCAAGACCATTTTAATGTAATACTTACCCTATAAATTTTTTTTTGTAGAAGAATAGATGACGACAGAGGAAAGTCATACGAATTAGGACAATCGGCTGTAAAATGTATGCGAGGTATTTTGGAATGTTGGGTGAAACAGGCGAGGAAAATAGAATTATTCAAGAAACACCAATGCAGTACCCACGCTTTGCACGTCAAGTTCCATTTAACAACGGGAAACGAAGTGTTTGGAGACGATGAATACAATCATTTGCAAATCGATGTCATATCAATTTATTTGCTGTTTTTAGTCCAAATGATAACATCTGGGCTCCAGATTATATACACACAAGTAAGCTGTTTTCATTGACCCTTTGGCATAATATTCATTTAAAATAATTCCAGGATGAAGTGGCTTTCATTCAAAACCTGGTTTATTACGTTGAAAGAGCTTACAGAACACCCGACTATGGTATGTGGGAAAGAGGAAGTAAATATAACGATGGTTCAGCAGAAATACACGCCAGTTCTATTGGATTCGCGAAATCAGCCCTCGAAGCCATCAACGGGTGCAATTTATTCGGTGAAAAGGGGGCTTCCTGGAGCGTTGTTTACGTTGACATAGACGCTCATAACAGGAACAGGAGTATATTTGAAACACTTCTACCTAGAGAATCTTGTTCTAAAGTAAGTGTTCTATTTAGAAATATTCTACTTTTCTTACCATGTTATTTTTTTAAGGATGTTGATGCATCTCTGCTTCCTACGATATCATTTCCTGCGTTTTCGACTCACGAAGAAATGCTGTATCAAGAAACTAAAAAGAATATAGTGGACAGTTTGAAAGGATCGTATGGTTTCAAAAGGTTCATCAGGGATGGTTATAAAACAGAAATCGAAGATTCCGAGCGCAGGTAAATTTTGTGGATGATAATTTACTACGAATTATGGAATATTCATTTCTTTAAAGGTTTTATGAAAAAGGCGAGTTAAAGAACTTTGAAAACATCGAATGCGAATGGCCCTTGTTTTACTTATTTATGATTGTCGATGGATGTTTCAAAGCTCTGCCGGACCAAATTCAAGAGTATCAAAATTTGCTGAAAGAACGAATAATGCTGGACCATCACAAAGGTATAAATTATCGTTTATTTTTGAAACATTTACACTGATGTAAGTACTGATTTTTTTAGATCCTGTAATACCCATGTACTATTATGTAACGAAAGAAAACATCGAAATCGAAAGACACTCACCTGGTTCAACCGATCGAAAAGCCGATACTGACGGTGGTTTATTCTTGTGGAACCAATCAATGTTTATCATAGCCCAATTATTAACTGCTGGCCTTCTACATATCAACGAATTAGACCCCATTCGTAGGTACTTACCGTCGTACAATCGCCCGAAGAAAGGTGGAAGATACTCGGCATTTCAGGTAGCTACAATTGCTAAACAAAATATTTTTATACAAACATGTGGAAAGTAATAATTTCAACAGTGCGAGTTTGATTTCAATGAAATTACATAGAGTAATTGTTCGTTTAAGGGAAAAAGTTCCTTTCCACGCTTGTAAGGGTTACTTTAAGTTGCTTCAGCTCGAGCTTACGCTTTTTTTTTACTCTTTTTCATGCTCTTCATAAAGGCCAAATGTTTTGTAAGTAAAGAAAATGAAACTAACACTTTTTAATGTGAATTTTGTACAGAACATGATTATTATGCAATAATTTAGTTCCCCTAAACCACTAGCTCCTCAAACTAATCATTCCATTTACTAAAATAAGCCGTATTAATAACAACTTTGTATAAGCTCATCTAATTTTAACCATGATTGTATAAAACGTGTATTCTTAACAGGGAACCGCGACTGATTTGGTAGTTCAAATAGTCCTCATAGCGGAGTCGATGAGGCTTCAGGCCATGATGGCAACATACGGCATTCAAACTCAAACGCCGCACGAAGTGGAGCCCGTTCAGATTTGGTCGTCGACGCAGCTAGTAAAAGTCTACGAGAATCTCGGCGTGAATCACAAGCTAGGCTTGAAAGGTAGACCCGTCAGACCCGTGGGTAGTTTGGGAACCAGTAAGGTCTATCGAATAGCAGGCGCTACGGTTTTGTGCTACCCAATTATATTCGAAGTATCAGACTTTTATCTTTACAGGTAATAATGATCACTGTGGACAATACTTGTAGAGTATTAATACTGTTTTTTTTAAATTTAGAGATATGGCTCTTCTGATAGATGATATTAAGACGGAGTTGCAGTTTGTGGGGAAGTATTGGAGGCTATCCGGTAGACCTACAGTTTGCTTGTTGATTAGAGAGGAGCACATGAGAGATCCGCAATTTAAAGAGATGCTCGATTTACTGGCCATGCTGAAGAAAGGCTACTGTGACAGCGTTAAAGTTCGAATAGGAAGATTGCAGAATCTCATATCTAGTTCTTGTATCGGTAATTATTTTATGCAACAAACGCATTGTGGTGGTTTATTTTAGTTTTTATTTGCAGAACATTTGGATTTCATGAATAATATCGACGGTAACGACGAAAATTATAATAATTTTAAACAGCTCGTACACGATTACATCGGTTACCAAAGTTTAACGGATGTTCCGAGGGCTCTCAATTTTCAAGATGAAGTTCAAGATTATACAGTAAGTAGTACAGCACATTAAGTCACTCAGATTTGTATTTATTTGTTGTGTTTTCGTAGCGATTCTTAAATACTCCTACTTATGAAATCGTAAGTGTTCTAAAAACCATAGAAAGCACATATGCCAGATGTCACCTATTTGGAATCCTGCTAAAAAGGGAAGGTAAACACTATTTAGTCGATAATGGTACAGTGGAGCAACATCTTCAACGTTTGTACCATCATGCTGGATGCTTGAGACACTGGGCGGCTGTAAGATACACCAGTAGTTTATTGAATCACAATGTAGACTCTATAAGCCCCTTTATTACTGCTGTTTTAGTCCACGGGAAACAAGTAAGTTGAATCAAAAACATAATTGTAGCTTCCGAAGGTTCTCTAAACCGTTATTTAATGAATTGTAGTTAACAGTAGGCGTGATAGGTAGAAAAGAAACCGTCTTCGATAAACCCATGACTCCTGCTGATATCCAACATGTGGTTTACAATACAATACAACCGTATGATGTTATCCAGGCTGTGCTACAGCAGGAGATTATTTTGTATTGCGGTCGCTTGATATCCACGAATCCAGAATTGTTCAAAGGAATCTTAAAAATACGAATCGGCTGGGTGCTGGAAGCCATAAATTATTATCTGAAAATATTCCACAACAACAGGAAGCTGGAAGACCACAGTCCGTACGAAGTGAGGCAGTTGCTCTACAAAGTTTTGTCTATTAAGGATTGGGGAAGCAAAGAGCAGTTAGTATTAGAATATTTATTTGTTCCTTTATTGAAAGGAATATCTTTTAGGCTTACTCCTCGTCAGAAACGGCAATTGGAAGGGTGCCTTTGTCGGGTTCCATCTTCTTTCTACAATCAAGTGTGGGACGTAATGACACGAACACCTGAAGGTATAATGGTAGCTGGAAATTTGATTCCTCAACAGCCTACTTTATCCAATATGACGAGATCTGAGTTAACTTTTTCGCTACTAGTAGAAGAGGTAAGTGGATTGACAAAAATATATATTTTGTATGTAACCTTTGAGTTTATTTTGTAGATGTTGAATCACATCCAACAACCGGATTATAGGCAATTAACGGTCGAGTTATTAACTATAGTTTCTACGATATTAGGTAGAAATCCTGAATTAACTTTCAGTAAACCGTTAGATTTGGAGCAACTTGTTAAGGATGCCGCGCATGTATATGCTAAGGTATATTTTGTTGGTGTATTTATTGGAATGTTCTCAACTATATTTATTTTCAGGACAATAATATTGAAGATGAAAGTGTAACGAACTTGCTGGAAATATCGTATGTGAGATCTACTGGATACTTAGCAAGGGCGGTGGTAAATACTGTTCTTAAGGGTGGAAAAATTTCTCAAGACTTAGAAAACGATCCAGAGCCCTGCAGAACATCTTAATAGTATTGATTTGATCTTTTAGAAATGTGTATACTGTTGATGAAGTTGATTTTGTCGCTGTGTAAATGCCAAAGAAATGAATTAGGAAATGAAAGTGTTAAGTTTCTGAATGAATATATATTTTGTGCAATTCAAAAATATCAACTGTTATGAACAAAAATTGGTCCAATATGGTCCAGTTTTGTATCTGCTCTTATGCAAGACTTAGTATATATTTTATGATAAATTAAATAAAAATGTTATGACTTAAGCGTGTATTGAAATTAACATAATGAAGAACTCTAACTTAAATGTAAGTGATCAGAAACATCCCAAATTTCCAAATCCTTTAAAACGGGAATTCTTTTATCGACAAAAGTAGGTTCGATTTTTAAATACAAATCTTTGCTACAATTCTCTTTTGAATTACAAATACATTTTCGTTCAAAAATATTTTCCTGGATATTTAAATTCATGCCGTTTTTCCTCCTTTTCTCGCCGATTTTATCCTTGATTGTTCTCATATCGTCTACATTCGGAGTCATCAAGAGCCCTAATCCTGGATAAATTATAAAAGCGGTAAACGTCATGACAGTTAATAAGTAAATTGGAATGGTTAAGACCCAACATCTTTGAGGTAAAAATGTAATTCCTATTGCCGTAAAATAACTTTCTGGTACGATTGCCCAAATCAGATAAGCGATAAAAAGTAATCGAAAAAACAGGTACATGACAAATCCATATACAGCCCTACTGGGGGTAGGAGTCGGAGTGTGTTCAGGCATGTTAATAATGATCGTATTTTTCACTAACGGGCCTCCCTAGGAGGTCTATTGTTCCAACAACGAGATCTAATTTTTCAAAGAACCCATTCACAGACACTCTTAGCTGCCTCGCCAGTTTGCCAGAAAAATGCCTAAAATCAGAAACTTCTGAATAAAAGTAGAAATCTTATGGAAACATTTTAACTTACGCTGTTAATACGTTGTCTCTTACTCCGAGTTGTTTTGATACCTCACTTCTTTTGGGCTCCTTATCGACTCTTAAAACGTCATAAGCTACTTCAGCACACTTTTTGCTTTCAAATGGTATTTGAATTTCACTAATAAAACTTAAGGAAAACAATTATAATAAATGCAAAAAGATAAAAATAATAGTACAATTCATACATCAGTAGCATTGCCAATGGAAAATCTAATAGATTTCAATAGGCTTTGATTAATAGGCTGTTAAAGGATACATTTTGAATAGCTCTTCACTCATTGTTAATTTGTTTTATTCAAAATCATGAATAATCATTAAGTACAACAAAAAATAACAACTTTTTCATCTACGAGTTATAACATAACCTCACAATAGTTAAGAAATTTGACATAGAAAGAAGAAGAATTAATTTGTCCTAGCTAAGTACCAAACAAATCAAAGACCCATTTTACTAATTCGCTGAAACGCTGTAGGCCACATATTAAGTTATTAAATTTAAAAAAGAAGAAGAAAATAACTTTATAAATTGTCAAATATTTTTAAAAAGAAATTGTAAAGATAATTTCGTTTTCAAATAGACTGTATTTAAAATAACATAAGTATAAATATAAGAACATGGAAAATGATGAGTACAAAAGCGTGGAAAATAATGAGTACAAAAGTGTGGAAAATAATGGAGACGAATTTTATAGTAATGCAGTTCATTATTGGTCCGAAATACCCGCTACATTAGATGGAATGCTGGGAGGTTTTGGTTTTATTTCTCAAACCGACATAAAGGGCTCGAAAATGTTATTAAAACAGTTATTCAATTCCAAAGATCATCCGGGAAGAGATTACGCTTTGGATTGCGGTGCAGGAATAGGCAGAATTAGTAAATTTTTGTTAACAGACGTTTTCGAGAAAGTTGATATGGTAGAACAGAATGAAGCTTTCCTCGAACAAGCGGAGAAATATTTAGGGCCAAAATTTAGTAAAATAGGTCATTTTTACCCCCAGGGATTGCAGAATTTCCAACCAGAAGAGGGTAAATACGATGTCATATGGATTCAATGGGTTTTAGGTCATTTGACTAATAAAGATTTAGTTAACTTTTTATCTTCATGCCGGTGAGTTATTAAGTCAATTGTTAATCTAATGTTTATTCTACGATTCGTAAATTTTAGGTGTGGATTGAAAAAAAATGGTGTTATTATAGTTAAGGAAAACATCACATCTTCCGATAGTATCGAGAAAGATGAACAAGATTCTTCGGTGACGAGGCCTTTACGACACTACCATATTATATTTCAAAAAGCGAAATTGCACTGTTATAGGCAAGTGAAACAACACAATTTCCCAAAAGGCCTATTCCCAGTTTATATGTTTGTACTCAAACCAAAAGAAGACATTACCAATAGCTGTTCGGAAACTAATTTAATACTAGAAAACGATGGAGTTTGTGAAAATATTGAACCTAATAGTGAGAAGAATATTACCAGCGATTTAGAAAAAAAAATCGAGCTAACAAGAGTTGATGATGTAGAAGCACCTGAGGAAAATAGCGTTAAGGATTTGTTAAAAACCGAATGTATTAGTACTTAATAAATTTTTACAAAAAATTGAAAATTTTAATATTAGAGCGTTGTTTTAATTTATATGTGGTTTTGAAAGATAGTCAACAGAAATGCTCATTAAAATTGATTACTTTTGTTATGTTTTACCGACTTTTATGAACAATAACTAAAAGATTATTTTTGTATTTGCATTTATTACTGCCAAAACGTTATTTCTGAAGGGAATATTAACTTATTTCCACTTTAAGATTTACTAAGATTATGTTTGCTTTGCACAATTTTCTCTCAACAAAACCCACTAAAAATAACTCGAATTTCCGCACACATTTCGAACCTCTCGAAGCATTAAATTTATTTCGTTTGCCGGTCGCTTTGCAATTTCGAAATTGCCAATTGATAATGTATCATTACAGACGGAGCTTTTTACGGGTAAATACAATGTTAGCAACAGAATCGGTCTGCGCCCTTAGGCGAAGATCGCAGCCGTTTTTCAGACCTTCATGCCGGATTACGTAATCCCGTAATCGCTTAGGAAGTCGCCAGGGTAGCCGTTTCCGTTTTAATTATAATCTATGCGTAGGTACATCTTTTCGCACGATAAATATCTATACTCCGTTCGCTAACAGGACCTATAATTTTGTACGTAAGAGACTTCACTTCTTCATTTCCATAGAGTATACAACTTTTACTCTTACTCTTGAAGCAGCTTTGTTTTTAATGTTTTTTAACTTATACTCCGTTCGACATCAGGAGATTGTGGTAAAAACGAATTTTGTTTCGTTGTTCAAAAGACAGCACGAGTGGCTCAACAAAAATATCGTAAAATGCTGTTTCATTTAATGCATTTTTTCATTGTGTTCATAGTATTAAAAAAATAGGCGAACCTGAAGACCTGAAGACCTGTGACCTGTAACCTGAAGACAGTGCACAATACTGCTTCTAGAACATTAAATAGATACTAAAAGGATATATAAAACACCACTTTCATTGATATTAATTATCTTATTGATAGTTATTTACCAAATTAGTAATTCAGTAGAGCCTACATTTTGTTCCTTTGTTGGCATGTCTATGGTATAGGTACTGCTTCAATAAATTTTTATTCCAATCTCCCGATAGCGAATAGAGTATAGATATTCATTCTCCGGCCGATTCCTGCAGATGGTGCGAACCGAATGCGTCGCGTATAGCTTTATTAAATCGCCACTCGCACCGAAACGCACGGCGAATATCATTAACCCGAATCTGATGGTAATTTTGGCTGCCTTCGGGTGCTTGTTCGCGTTCGCGCCGCCGATTTTACGACAATATCTGCACAGAAATTAATTACGAGGTCTCATCCTTGTTATTAAAGCGGCGTTTACCGGGGAGGTTTCTCAAAAATTCATAACCAATCAATTAATTATCCGGCTAAAAGATTAAAAGTGAAGGTGGTCAAGCTTCTGTTGAATGTAGGCACGTTTATTTCTTTTTTATTCGCGGAATATTACTATGCATTAAAGCGAATTTACTGTTAGTAGTTTCTTCAACTTTCAATCTGCAAGATGATGTCCCGTCGAGTGGACAATTAGATAAAAACGGGGCGCGCGTGCAATTGACGCCCGTAAGCAATGCCAGTCGGCGTACGAGAGGAAGTCGTTAAATTTTCAATCTAAAGGCATATATTTACTCAAAATCGCGTGGACATGTCGTCGGACGTCGTTTTATATCATACGAGAAGCAGTTTTAGTAATCGATTGCCTTATTTATAAGCAATCTGCAGGAACATCTGCAAAAAGTCCGGCGATTGCACCGAAACGATGTTACTCGTCTCCGAACCAATCGAATTTCGTAATGATTCCTCCGTTTTTTTTTTCGTTTCCAGTCAATTTAGTTTTAGATTGTTCGTAATTATGGATTAAATAATTAGGCGAGAAGAAATAAAATTCTCCGTTAGGATAATTATGTCTTCTTATCAATACTTTTTTACATTCTTATAAATGCTTATGGAATTTGTTTGTGCCTACTAAATTAAATCAAACTCCTCATTACTTGAGCTCTTTTTGAAGACGAATACCTAATAAAGTAATCTCTAAATTCCCCTTGCGGTTGATTATATTAGAAATTAATAATAAGACGCCTAAAGCGACAATCGCACGTCACGATACCTATTAGCAGTAAATAATCGTCTACTTTAACAAAAAACCCAACCGCTAAAAACAATCTTTACAGTTCGGAAATATTACAAACTAATAAGTACCAACGTGGTGCGAGATAAAGACATTAAATTTTATTATTATTAACTTCAAAAACGATAAAATATTTAAATGCTCGCTCTCTCGCGCCAACCCGAAAAAAATCCCGACGCGGGAATTATTTCCACAACTCCGCGCTTCGTTAGCAGCAAAAAGCATCACCGTCGCTTTCGACCAGAATCTAATTCATAAAAAAACTTCCTAGACGTCTGCGGACCTTCGGTTTCGTTTATACTGTCCCTTTTGTTCGCGCAAATAACATTTTTTATGCCAGCGCTGATGGGTATATTAATTACAGACATCTGTGGACCCACCCCGGCCGCGGTCGATGAAACTACCGTAAGCTATTAAAACTCCGGGCCATTTCTACAAACTAATAACCCCGGAAAGGACGACCGAACCGTCCGAAAGGAAGCAAAAAAAGATTACCATCGCGCGTATCGGTCCCGAAAGGGTTGTTCAACTTATTAAATTGGTGGACCTAACGGGAATATGCACAAGACACCTAATCTACCACTGATTCGATTAGGTTCGCAACTGCAGCAGCATTGCCGGTGATTGAGTTATTTTGCCAGAAATTTGGATTATTCCCTGTTATAATAATTATTGTAAAAAATTGCAAATATTGTAGGGTAATTGTTGTATGTGTACAACAATCTCTTCTTCCTATTATTCTCTATACACCGGAGCTTTTTGAGTTCATGCTAGATAGGACTCACTTCTACCTTAATACATGTAATTACTAGATATCTAGTATATTGTGGTGATTTGTGGATTTGAAGGCATATTCCATTCGAATAGGTCTGACAACAAGGCCGAGCGAATCTTGGCTTCTGAGCGTAAACAAAGAGGAAGAACTTCTAGAAGCACGGGCGAATAATGATAGATATAGGACAGGTGCTCCTCTAACTTGCCGAGATCATGTGTGTGTGTGCTTTCTCTTTTCGTGGCAGTTGGTGGAAGTATTGGCACGCGCCCGATTCCAATTTATTCGCTCGTTCGCTTTGCAGGATGAAGTTTCAAGTATTAGTTATTACCGGATGGACAATGGCGTAGCTGGAATTGTTAGGAAAATTGCCGAGTAACGCCAATGAGATTCGTGCAATAAGTATTGCCCCTCGAAGGCAAAAATATCTATAAATAATTTAGAAGTATTAAAAATATTCCGAACATCGGAATAATCAATAAACTGTAAAGTCGCATTGGAATGACCGGTCTTGCTATCGTTCGATGCAAAAGATCGAGTACATCATAATTTATCATACGAACGATAAATCAGAAAATGGAAACGATTCGATTTCGCGGGGCGCGATTCTCTTATTTTAGTTTATAAAATTTACAAGTTTGTCGCATTAAACTCCATATATATTCAACGTTTGTAGGAGCTTTACAAGCACATATCGACGACAACTTTTTCTGCACGATGCCTTATCACGGCGATCGATCCCATTTTATTGCTTATTATTTTATTATGGCAGAGTTCCACGATTGGTGGTCGGTTTTTTGAACCACATCTCTTAATATATTGACGTCAACTAAACCATGAATTGACTTATAAAGAATTCTCAGATTGTTTTTGCGACGCTCCGATGAGGATCGCTTCTTCATCTTCTTTATGGTTTTTTTTCTAATTCATTTCGAGAATTGATGTGCACTATCTTGTATCTCTAACATACTGCAAGAATTTTATAAGATTGCGAGGATTTTTCCTATTTAACGAATTCCTGTTTCACGACCAAATATAGTTTCCAAGTCGCAACGATTATTTCCAGTCGTTTGATTAAGCAATTTACCCTTCTGTTACATAATGCATTAGTATATACTTAACTATACACTCATTTTTTAAGGATATATTTAATAAATAATAAGTAACTTATTTAATAAAATTCATTGATTATATCTAATTGATAATTGTTGATTAATAAAATTATTGTTCTTCTTTTAAAGATTTTATTTCGTGTATTGTAAACGTGTTAATTATTAAAGGAAAAAAATGGAACGTTCGTTATTATTAATACATTACGTGCAAACATATCATAAAGCGCTCGAATTCGCCCGTTAATAAATAAATGACACCGAAAAAAATTAATCGCTTTTTTTTAAGTGCCGAAAGTGGTATTAAAGCGTTTACGTGTTAGGAAGTCTTTAAATCGATGTTTTTATTGGGAAATTTCGATGGGCAGTTGGCGATATCGGTCGGTAATTATTAATTAATAATCATGAGATGTTCGCAATTTCGAGAATTTTATTAATAACGAATAAGCATAATTTTGTAATTTCGCTGGCGAATGTATTTGATTCCACATTTTTCGAGAACTCACCGAGAGTAGTTGATTTGTAAATGTAAAAGCGAGTAATGCATTATGAAGATATATTCTGATGTTATCTTGTATATGAAACAAATTGGAATTCAATAAGGAGTTATTTCTTGAGCAAAACATGTACCTACTATAAAAAATACCAATTGATTTAATTTTCTTTTTAAAAAAGTGAAAAAAATGTATGCCACATTTATCCACCAGAGATTGCTTTCATTCTTAAAACATTCGAAATCTTCCGCCTATATTTTTTCCCGTCGCAGGTGTAAATTACATTTAAAATTTTTTTCACCATTCGTGCCTGCGTACACCTACCGCAATTCGGTTTACTCGCCGGCAATTAGCAGTACTAATAATTATTTCGCAAAGGACCGAAAGAAAAAAGTAATTGTTACAGAGTAGATTTCACGGTGTCGCATCTGCACTTATAGACGTTACACGGTAGCATTTTTACCGCCTTTACAGAACGATTCACA